TGGATAGAAACTGTCAAACGTCAAATATTGACCAGTCCAATTAGACCTATAATAAATTCTGTGTAATACAGAACCATCTTCATTTCTTTTAATGCTCCAATCGACGAAATTTATTCAATCTAACGTTTCATGTTCATATGTATCCTTATTCATTCTCAACTAAATTTTACCATCCAATGAAAATTATCATTGATGTAATTTAGTGGTTCAGCTAACTGCTGTACACAATATGAAAAATAGTTAATTGATTTACAGATTATTGAATGTAAAAATATTTTTGTTTGTGAAATACACTAACTAACTAAAGTAATACATGTTTTCAAGTATTCATATGCATACTAAAGAGGTCATCAATCTATCCAATTTCAACTAAATAGTCTTTATCGGATGATGCAAGAATGACAATGCACATTTACTCAGTATACTGTGGCAAGGATATGTGAGTTTAATCTGAACATAATTTTGGATATGTTAGTTGGTTGGAGGGGACCTGTAGGAAGCCCTGGACCTAGGTTTCGTGCTACTTAGCACTCGTTAGTAGGGCGTATCTGCAACATCGACGGAACTGATATCCCTCCTGAGATTCGAACCCGCCACACTCAGTGTTGTAGTCAGCGACTTTGCCACCTAGCTATTCGGGCCGCAACTGACCTCCTGTAGGACTCGGTTTCATGCACTGAATGGTCACCAGAGAGAAACCAGTTTCATGATGTCTTGTTTTGAGTTAAGATCGAATCCTATCGATCATGTTTGCAATGTGATCACCAGGCTCAGTGGCAAAGTTGCTGACTACAACACTGGGTGACGCAGGTTCGAATCTCAGGTGGGATATCAGTTCCATAGAGGTTGCAGAAATGCCTTGCTGACGAGTGCCAACAAGCACGAAACTTAAGTCCAGGGCTTTCTGCCGATTGTCATCAACCAACTAACATCTACTAATGTGCACCACGATGCTGAGCCTCCTAGCTTGGTGGTCACATTGTAAAAATGATCGATTGGATTCGATCTGCATTCGGGACTAGACAACATCAAACTGGTTGCTCTCCCGTGACCAATCAACTTTATAAATTGCTTAGCAAGGAAAGTAAAACGAACGTGAATAGATCATTAATCTTTACAAAAAAAAGGAAACTATGTAGTTCTCTCTTGTTATTCTGTCTATAAAGCAAGTAGTCAAGAGAAAACTGGGTGAACTTTCATTGTTGGAATAAAGTAAATTGACAAAATTAAAGTAGCGAACAAGAATGTTAGAAGAAAGTGAGAATGAGAGAGAAATCAAAGTAGAACTGAGCACAGGAGTACATAAAATCTAAGCTGCCACATTTGGCAGCAGAATGTAGTGGATAGAAAACGAATAGGACAAAGGAAGAAAAAGTATACAATGAAAATATTCGAGTATTCAAAGATGATTAATCTGCGCCATTGTAACCGCTTTTCAGCCACATCACCAAAAGTCTCCAACCAGTGACTTCGATTATCTTGAACATGCTAGCAGCCAGGCAGACTTCACCTCCATACACGATACAGATCAACATATGCTAACTTTATTGGCGAATGTCACATCTTGATCTGGCCACTTTTAGCTTTCTTCTAACCCATTACCACTCCAGCTGAAATGGCTGCTCGGGGTAGACAGTAGCTTAGCATGAACAATACATGTCCAAACCACATAAGTTGGTGAACATTCTCAACTTCATCGACTGACTTGCTTTTATTGCACAGGATCTTATACCTAACCTAGAGATTATTGACCGTACACAAGCAACGCTAAAACTTACGCATTTGAAAACATGCAACCTCTTCATATTTCACAACCATATGATATAATAGAGTGAATAGCGGGACACTTCTACTGGCCCATTTGACGAGTCGTCGGTGCAAGACAAGACGCAAGTTGGTAAGTGTTAAACAGGCCCATTTTTATCTGGACTGGGATTCCGTAAGCAACAAACCTATTCTGCATCGGATCCAGTTTGATAACTATATAATACAGATTTGTGAGGTAAGGGCCATATGGATCCCACTTATTGAGTGTAAGGACTGATGATTTTAATCATTGTTCCCTAGACTGAAAATTGAAACATAATGGCCGATTTAATTCCGGATGGAAATAACTATCGAAACAGAAATCTATGCCACTAAAAATTTTGTACAAGTGAAGTTATACTGAATTTATTTCTGATATAAATTCACGTCGACAACCTGCACTGTGGATTATGTGAAGGAAGATGAGGAGGTATTTGGTAAGATGGATTGGATCTGTTGATTTTGTAGTTCATCTAAACGCTATTGATGTTATTACATTCTCTCAATGGATTCAACAGCTTACTTTGATGTCAACATCAACAATGTTAACTATGAATAATTATTCTATGAATGGCAAGTTAGTATGACGTTACAATCATGAACACCTAACTTTAAAAAGACTTGCTTCTTCTTCTTAATCGATAGTTTAGGTCTTCATCGACACAACTATTCACCACTAACTTACCTGAGTACCAGAATAGTAGCAATACTCATATCGTTAATGTAAGAGGAAAATTTGACCACTGTATATATAGAGTATAATTTCATATAAGATTAGTCAATTTGATTTAACCCACAGTGAGTGATACACTATTGTTTACTGGATGTCGTTTCAAGCGGAATTCACTGCTCACTTTCATATCAAAGTGAATCTCCTCGAAATGTCATCTAGTAAATAATACTGTGCTATATCAAATAAACAGACTACAGATATTCATCAACAACTACCTACGCTGGCTCGTTACTGAAGATGGAGATCAGACGGCCAGAAAGAATGAGCAACAAGAAACTTTGGCCTGCCAACGAACCAACCAAGAACCTATCATACAACAAATATGCAGAAGGGAGTGGAGATGAATTGGGCATACACTGAGAAGGTCATTCAGGGACATCACACGCCAGGCTAAGCACTCAAGTGGAACCCCGATGGGAAGTGACAAATTGGGCGTCCGAGGTGAGTGCGACTTGAAGGAGATCGTGTGAAGAAGAAATGAGAGCTTCTGGGCTGTCATGGAACCAGGTTTAAAAGTTTGCAGAGAAGGAGGTGGACTGGAGACGTGCTACTGAAGCCCTATATTCCATTAGGAACCCAAGGGACAAATAATAATATATCGAATAAACAATCTAATATAGACTTTATATGCTTAGGTTTTTCATCAGTCTCAAGGATGCATGTCTTCATATTTAAGCTTGTATCAAAAACTGATCAAACAAATCTATACAAATGGCGAAAAATTGTCTCTTATCCAGTAACTAATATTTCTAAATGTAATTATTAAAACGGGGATAGGTTGGTCTTTTTATTTTATACAGTTTTGATGGTTAACACAGAGAAATAATTGAGTTGGTTCATTAGAGAAATTTATCCACAAATCTCTGACAGCCGTAGAAGTTACTAGTGTTGTTTATATTTATATTGCAATAATTTATGGTTTAATATCTTATGTTTAGTATCTGTTACTGAAAAGTAACAACCAAGAATATCGAAAGATAATACCCTTAAACATAGACTTAGCCCTGATGTTAGAACGACTTACTATGCACTAGGGTTCGATTAATAGAAACTACCAAACCTGTAAATTCTTCTGAATCCCTACAGCATGTGAACGAAAATGTCACAATCCATTTCATCTACCGATTCAAGTGTACGTGTGGTGACACACACATAAGGAGGACTCATAGATCTATACAAGTAAAGGCCTTGGAACATATTCCAAAGTGGTTTCCCAAGCAAATTTATTCATTTGAACCCACAAAAGTTGTTAGCAGGCGTCTAAGTTCTTCGACCACAAAACATATCATCGAGACAGGTGACGGGATTCACTTTTTGGGGATGGATCGTTGAATTCGTTGACGCCTTAGCTATTAAGAAGTTTAAATCGCCTTTATCCTTTCAATAACAATTTGTTATCACATTAAATCTCCATTGGTGAATTCAACTATGAAAACAAAATTCGATATCCTATTATTTTCGCTCTATTGATTTTCATTCTTATTCAGCTCTTAATTCAACCTTCCTACATGGCGTCTTTTCATTTTCTCACCCCTTATCTTCATGAATTTTCATACAAATACCTATGACAAGTACGTGTATGATCAGGTAGTTCAAAATGTGTTGCGGAAATGCATTACAAGGTTCAGATAATTTACGTCTTCTTATTGTTTTGTCGAAGTTTATAAAGGGAACTAGTTGTTTTAAAGGTACTACTATTAAAGAACTTGAGTAGTTAAAAACTCAGGCTGATCTGTATTGTTTCACCAGCCAGATCAGAGTGTTGTAAACACCACGCGACCGTTTCCCTCGTTTGGAGCCGAACTCATCAGCGGTGATTGTAATTACTTCAGACCACATGAACCTTGCTAGCTGGCTTGTATGGACCGTTATACCCGAAGTAGAATGATTTACAAACTGCACTGTCCTTTTTTGACATTTCTCACAGTTGAGTAGTGTTTCAACTGCCACCAACTGTATTATCATTCAACAGGTTTCCTGCTGGAAACTACTGAGCCTAGATCATAAAGTGTGATCCCTCACAAAAAATTGTCATGAACTACTGAACGATACTACTGCTGAGCAACTTGGTTAGTTAGAAACTACTCAGATTGGTCTGCAGTAATTTGTTAGCCGGATCAGAGTGGTCTAAACACCAGACGGCTAAAAATATCTTCGGACCATTTACAATCACTATCAGTATAAGCTTTTAATACGATTATTCATGTATTTATATCTCAGGTGGTTTGTTCTACATTCAAACTCCTAAAAAATATAATGCCAATGAACGAAACATAATTGAGTTTTTCTTAAAGGAATATGACTAGTCATATTCCACTACCCTTGAGCAACAACGTGTGCTATGAGAACTGAAGCCATCGCTCAGTGGTTGAGTGACTTCATTATTGGATAAAAAGTCCATAAAAAAATCATCAATATATTCTTAACGGTCAATTGCATATATATGTTAAACTTAACTTACCAGTAATCGCCATAGCTTTCCCACCAGAATATGAGCTAGTTCCATAACCGCCTAATATAACATTAGGCAGTGAACGATTCATTGCTTTGCACATAATATATGACAAAATAGCACCACTTGACCCGATTAATGCGCCGACTACAGTCATTAAACTGTTATTTAGCATAAAGCCTTCAGCACATAGTGCCCAGCCAGAATAACTATTCAACACTGTAATTACAACTGGCATATCTGCGCCTAGATTATATGAAATGAAAATACATGAAACTAACTACGCATAATTAGAAAGAGTAACAGTGCATTACAATCTCAACCTAAAAAGTAACGATTTCTCTGAAAAAATCAATCCAAAAAAAGAACATTTCCTGTAGCCAAGTTGATCCCTCTCTACAGAACAACATACTCTTTGGTACAATCCAAAGTCGACAGGCTCCATTCCCATTTTACCGCTATCTTTATATACAAGTTTACGTGTATTTGCGGTAGCAGTTACATGGGAAGGACAGAGACAAGGGCATACCTTAGATTCTTTGAACATGTACCAAGAAGCCTGTATCTCGAGGGTACAAGTACTTTCAGTAGTACTGTCACTCGGCATTTCATCGACACAGTGTATGAAGTAGATACCATAGAATCCTTCAAGGTAACTGATAAACAACGTGATTCAAACCTCATCAAGTCCACTGAGGCCATAGCAATCAAATGACTGAAACCTGAATTGTCTGTTCAAAAGTTTATCTTTGCCCTGGTAACCTAATATGCTACTCTTCCTCTTGTCTGATGACATCATCTTTTGGATAAACCTTTTTCTGTTTGTACATAGCTTTGATGATCCTTCTAACAAATGAGTTTAACGAATGTTATTACTATACTATTTGTCTCTTCTTCATCAGCAGCTAACCGACTTTTTAATCTTTTTACGCAATGTCTGATTATCATTTATATTCTTTTTTCAAACTCTCTGTTGAAATATTTATATAGCTGAAGCTTCATAGCCTGTCTTGTCAACTTTACCATGATACTTGTATTAGTTATTAAATCATGTCATTCCCTATTAACTAACTTCATGCAACTGAGAAAAGGTATATTCTAATTCTTTTATAATCTATAGTGATTCAATATTTTTAGGTTGTAAGCAGTTGATGAGAAACCAGTGAAATTAAATTGGCACCATGTTATTCTGCTTCAAAAGTTATTCTTTCTCTATTCAATCTCAAATGAAACAGATGTTTAACTGAAAATTGTAAACATGCTTTTTTAAATGGATATCATCTCAATCGGTAAGAAAACGATTTATAGCAAATTGACAGACACAGTCAAATAAACAAAAAGGGGAAAAAAATACCACAGATACGTATCAGTATCGATTTTATGAGCTATAATTTGGATTAATAACCTCAAATTACATATTAATTTCACAGTTATGTAAAAAAGACAGGGAAATTTCTATCAATTAGTCAGATTAAACTTTATAGTCATTGAGTTAGTGAGCCAGTTTTAAATCCCCAGATTTCAAATAATCACTGGATACCTGAGTTATTATGTGACCTGTTCACATTGAAATGATTTGTTTTTGGCAAATGTTATACATAAACGATTAGTAAAATCATCTACATCTAACCTTACAGACTAAATAAATCATGAAGATTTAAATGATCACAAGTTCAGTACCGAAATAAACAAGTAAGTCAGCTAATCTTTGCCAATGTGAAGAGAATATGAATAAACGATTGATTCAGCTAACAACTTAATAAAATAGTGTACTATTTCAAGTGGCTACATTTCTAGAGCCAATAAGAGAACCTTCTACGCCACAGAACTCTGTCTGTCGTTTTCCAGTCAACCAATTTTTGCTGCTCAGACAAAAGATAAGGTATCTAGTTTTGCCATTTCTATGTGTATTTATAAGTTTAGCTGCTCCTGTGGAAAAAGCTATATAGGGCGTACTACTAGACAACATAGCCAACGTGTTCCTGAGCATCTACCTTCATGGTTGGGAAAGGGACAAATATAATCCACCAGAAGCTTGATTTTATCTCAGCTCGTTGATAGTGGTCACTTGGTAGAAAAAAACATTGCTTTCATGATTATTCACCGCATAACATTTTATCTTTTACACGTAGCAGAAGCTATGGGATTTCGAGCTAATAATCCTAGCCTTTGTATCCAGAAGAAATTTGTACATCCCTTGACCAGGGAATACTTACTTAATAACTTTATCATTCAGTTTTTTTTCTTACCCTTTTTCTTATTCATCACCCATTTCGTATACTTACTGTATTTACTTGTCTAGGCCTTGTTTATCCATTTACCTTGCACTTCAGTATTACGTAGCTTTTATTTTCACAAGCTTTTGACTCATTTTGATCATCGAAGTGTCTACATTTTCACGCTGCTTTCTTCGTTCTTATCATCATTATCATCTATACTGTATGTGCTTTGGTCAACCTTATCACTTTATTATTTGTATTATTATCACCATTGTTATTTTAAAACATGTATCACATCAACTGACAAATCTACATGACTGGTCTAGTTTTATATATTTGTATTAGAGTAAAGTCTGAAGACGATCTAATTGAAAACAATATTGTTCGTTTATATGTCTCGTTCTAATCTTACGCACACCACTTCGTTGTCACGGAAAACAGACTTTAACAAATACATCTTATCATTTTGACTATCTGAGATACCTGTGGTTTAGCAGATTAGTATCGACACTGCGTGATGATTGAAGGTGAAATGAAAATTTAGACCATGGTCGGACTCGAACCAGTGACCACCGGATTTCCGATCCAATGCTCTACCAACTGACCTACGAGGCCATCAGGCATAAATACTAGTCTGCCAAACCACAAGTATTTCAGATAGTTGAAACGATAGTCATTATGATGCCCACCTCTCTAATTCAGTTAGATTTGGATCGGGATGAGAAGTCTTGACAAGGCAGCCAGTGTGAATATAGTCAAGCGGTAGTAACGGGTTACGAATCCACATGGTAGTCGGGCATAACCCATGGCTATTGATGAAATGAAATAAAAATCTGGTCAGCACTCGGACCTCTTACCTCAGTTGGTAGAACATCAGACCGGAAACCCGGTGGTCGCGGGTTCGAAACCTGTCGCGATCCAAATTTTCATTCATTACCCAGTATAAATGCATCTTATGAAACCAAATTAATCAATTTTAAGAGTGCTCATATCGCAAGCACACACAAACATACAAGTAATAATTAAAACAATAATAATAATGAAGAATAACTCACCTCCAATAGCTGCTGTTAAAGTTAAACCAGATATGCCACCAGCTACACCAGCACCACCAACAAGTAGCGCAAGACCAGGTCCTACTGCTTCAGGACCAAGTGAAAGTAGGCCAATAAGACATCCAACAGATAGTGTTGCTAAACTAGCATTCAGAGCATTTCGCATTGGTAATAAAAGTGGAGCTGAGTGTAATAAACCTGAATGGAGATGTTGTTTTTAAAATTGTAGATAAAAATGATCTCAATTACACTATAAAAAAAGTTAACATATTCCAGAAAAACTATGCTAATGAATACATACTTATGTATTGTCTTCTGTGTAACATCGTACTTCGTCCGGAACTAAGACATTCTTAACACGTTTCTATACAAAGATGATTCTAATAGTGCGGACTATTATACAAAGATTTAATGTTACCATTAGAAGGAAAGACTATGCAGCTGTGGTTAGGTAAACCAAAATCACCAAACCTTTATACTCTAGTAAATCTTTACAGCATTTGAACGATTGTCTCATGTATTTGTGACGACATATATATGAGAAGGACTCATAGATCTATGCAAGTCAGGGTCATGGAACATATTCTGAAACAGCTTTAGAATCAAATCACTTGAACCCGTAAACATTAGCATCAGATATTCAAGCTTTTCGACTGCCAAACATGTCATTGAGACAGGTTACAGAATTGACAGTTTTACATCCCTTAGACCTATTTACAAAATGTGATGGAGACAGATAGTCAAATCTTAGCGGTTCGGAAGTTTGTGAAACCTTTATGTATTCAGAAACAATTCGTTTTTATTACATAGCATCCTCCTTGATGACTTCATCTCAGAAATTAAGGTTGATGTACTATCATGTTTTGCTCTATTGATCATGATTGCTATTTTATCCTCAAATTTAGCCTTCCTACTTTTACCCCTCTTCTTGTTCTCACTCTTTCATTTATTCATAAGCTTTCATATAAATACCTATGACAAATACGTGTGATTAGATTGTTCGAAATGTCTTGCGTAACTACATTACACAATTTAGACATACTACATCTTCTTATTGTTTTGTCGAATTAACTGAGTTAATAAACGCTTTACTCCAGAAAATATTTTTAGTGTAGATTGAAGTTTTCAGCATGTTCTCCTCACAACCACAGTATGACAAAATGTGTTTGAACTCACATAAACACAATCAATTTTTTTTAGCTACAAACACTTGATAACCGGTTTCCACACTACTCAAAAGATGCTTGTCTCTTAATCTTAAAGGTTTCTTTACATAACTAAAATTATTCCTTGGTATCTTTATGCATGAAAATGATATAATGTAAGTCTATAACACACCAGTATTATGCAATAGATGCACTTGAAAGACTCGCTGAGTTGCTGTCATCTAATACCTAACCAGTTTTATACAAATTGATATAAATCCATACCTTCTTGTTACTACTGATAGCGAACAACAACTAAAAAGACATATTAGCAAATAAAAGCGCTTAGAAGAAGTGCCTATCTGGTTATTAACTATGGACTCTGAGGATGTAGCCATTGATCAACAGAAAGGAGACGTGAAATGATGACTATCCGTCAGCAGATGCCTATGTGTTAAAACAAACCTTATAAAACTGAAAACACCCGCTGATGTCTTAGCAGATTACATGACTAACACTTAAAAATATTAAAAATACTACCTTGAAAATATCAACATGGATCATGCAATTTGTAAAGCATTTGCAGTTTAATCATTCTATTAAAGTGAAACTGATCCATGCAAGTCAGGTAGCTAGATTCAGGTGATGTGAACAATTCCATTCTATGAGTTTGGATCCGAACAAGCGAAAAAGACATCTAATTTTTAGATCAAACTAGTCTGGCTCATGAAATCCAACTACTCAAGCTGTTCAAAAGTATATTTCTTTAAAAGCCGGTAGTGTTTTCATGCCGAGAAGGTGTACTACAAAATCATCACATTTTTAACAATACCCAGTAAAAATGAATTATTTTCTTAAGTCATACTTTCAACCAGAGCTCTTATCTCATAAAGAATACTAAGGATTTAGCTGATGTATAAAATATTATTCAGAACGCTTAGAACGATCTGATAATTAACTGGACCATAAGTTATTAAACCAATATATATATATATATATATATATATATATATATATATATATATATATATATGACTGGATGACAAAACAACTTAGGTAGGACCTGGTATACACGTGCATCGGCTCAAGTTGCCACGTTGCACAGTAGTACAAAAAGAACAAGTGAATCGAAAAGGAGTGATATCAAAGTAGATAAATTAATGTAATAGAATAAACATTGTGAAGATAAAGGTTAGCGCAAATACTCAAGCTTTATAAGATGAATATTCGCACTATGTGTATAACCTTAATGCACAAAAGAAATTCCTTCAAAAATACAGATGAGAAGTATATTTTAAGCAAAATTTCCGAGGTATTTGTATGAAAACTTATGAAATGTTGTAGCAACTGTATAGAAAAAAATTTTCTGATTAACAGTTATTGAGAATTTATTTTGGTTGTCTGGTTAGTAACTTCAACTTTATACTCTGAAAATATGTCAAACAATTTTGAGAATAATATTAGCTCTGGTGGCATTAAAATTGTGAACTGAGGACAAATAAATAACTATGATAATTGTATTGACTGATAAAATATACACTCAGATGGAAGCAACATCTGAGCAGAGGTTGAGATTGATGTAAGTTGTAAGCTTAAACCAGTCATCACTTCCAGCAGAACTTCAAGGAAAGATAAAGATTTGGTTCAAACCAGTATTTTTAGCTGATTGGCTATTAATGAAGTTAGTTATAATAAGACTAATCATAACTTTTGATTTTCAGTCAAGTTCACACAAAGCCCTTAGAAATGACTACTTTCGATTAGCTTAATATGTGAATAACATCTGTTTAACTTGATCAGAGATTTCCAGGTTAGAAAACTTTACTAGACGAAATAGGTTTCATCCACTACGTAATAAGCAGAAACACGCTGTAGTAGTCAATATGAACAAAAGATTTAAATGCCTTCAAGATATGTGCAGGTATTATATACAAACTTAATACTGACAAAAAAGATTTATAATTATGGTTTGGCAGTATTCTTATGCCTAATTTATTACTCTTCCCTTGAGTTCGTTGTGGAACATACGGCTTCAGTAGCACGTCTTTATTTCACTCTCTTCTCTACAGTCTTCCAAACCTGGCTCCATCACTGCCCAGAAGCTTTCATTTCTTCCTCACATGATCTCCTCCACGTCACCCTCGGACGCCCGACTCATTGTTTCCCCGTCGGGTTCTACTCGAGGGTCTGGCGCGTGATGTTGGCAAACGGTCTTCTCAGTCTATGTCCAATCCAATCCATCTCCACTTTCTTCTGCTTATTTGTTGGGCTACAGCTTCTTGATTCTTTGCTAGGTCAGAGTTCCTTCTTGCTTATTCTTCCTCGCCCTCTGATCTGATCTTCAGTATCGAGCAAGCGTAGCTGTTGGTGATGTATATCTATAGTTTGTTGAAAATGATTTTCGTAACGGGCTAAGTCTCTTAACCATCACATAGAAGCACTGACTTACTTGATATTAGTGTTGAAAATCCGGATCTTGTTCTTTATGCCGAGTGCAGTGGAGTAAAGTAGATCTCCACACTGATTTCAGATCAATGAAAGCCTGTCTTGCTGTCTTTCCGATCCTAACTTTCACATCCTCATCTATGCCTGTGACGCCTGTAGTTGAAACGATGCTGCCTAGACTAGATAGGTGAAAGAGACTACTTCCTCTAGATTTATCCCGTTGATGGTAATTGATGCTTGTTGTTGTTGTTGCTGGGATATCTTCATCACCTGTGTCTTCTCTACGTTCACTTGAAGCCCCGGCTTCGCTGCCTCTTCTATCAACTTGTTGGTTTTCGCCTGTAGATCTTTGAGTTTGTGAGACATTGAACATAAATCATGATCGGCGAAATCCAAATCTTCTAGGGTCTTTTCATTGGTTCAGTATATACTCCTCTTCTAACTCCTCACAGTTTGTTGCATGATGCAGTCCAGTCCACCACAATTAGGGAGATCATGGGTGATAGTAGACAGCCTTGTCTTACCCCTGTCTTCTCTTCAAAAACATCACTGAGCTTTCCACTATAAATCACTTGGTAAGTAGCACCATCATCATCATATAGCTGTTGAATGAGGTTGCTAAAGGTTTGTGACACTAAAACCGTAGTGTTGAAGCAGCAGCCAAATTACTTCTCGGTCGACGCTATCGACGACCTTTTTAAAGTCGATAAAGTTGAGGTAAAGAGTTGCCATTCTGCCATTCTATGCTCTATTCTATGATGATGCGTAGCGTTACAATTTGATCTGCATCATAGGGAATCTTAGTGAATTGTTCTCTCGTGGTTTCAGATGTACGAATTTCACAAGACAAGAGATGCTTTGTAGAAGTCAATATATATATATATATATATATATATATATATATATATATATATATATATATATATATATATATATATATATATATATATAATCAGAAGTGCTGTTTACTTGGCATAAACGTGTGTAGTTTCTTTGTAAATTAAACGTATCTCAAATTGAGAAGAAAACAGAATAATGAGTTCAGTGAGTTTGTATAACAAATCTTATTAGACCTGTGAACTAAGGAAACTACATAATAACTTTCTTCCTTTGGAAAGGAAAAGGAATTTAGGTTCTCTTTCTCTCTCTAATTACGCGTCCGGAAGACCTTTGCAGAAGACATCGTAGAGGATAAGCTAAACCTATTTAAACAACACTTTACGGGAAACGTGTATTCATCACTTTTTACAGAGCGTTCAGTCCCATACGCACCTACATGTTTGCCTGGTCTTTTGGAGGCAGGTGCGTAGGACTTTCATAGAAAAACATTGGCCATCACGTTCAAGAGAGCCTCCCAGTATAGCTGACCATAAGGAAACGTAGAGGTGTAAATTCATCAATCCTTTAACATATAGTTGACTACAACCATGCAGCCTTCGAATTATCACTTGACATCATTTACAAAGTCAATTCAAACTTACTGAAAGTTGCACACATACACCTATTTTGCAGAGCAAAAGACTTGGGAATACATTATCTCAGACCAGAACTAGGTGCGCAGAAACAGTCTGTACGGTCCTTTTCACCACCTTGGACCTAATTTACCATTTTGACCACATGTTCCATACATCTGTCTCTTCCTCAGTTTTATTTTGTTCTACTTGCATCCATTTTATTTGTCATAACTTTTCACTTCTCTTGATCCCGATCACTTCACATTTTGTTTGGATTATATTCACATTTGTTTGCTTTTTTCATCTCCAGTCGCCTCCCATCTTGCACCTTTGACTTTCAGTCTTTTATATCTTTCTAACTGATTTGATGTTTCACAAAATGACTCCCTTAAGGTAAGCAAATTCTTCTGTTATACCTACGGGCCAGGGCGTTAACACGAAGGAGCTCTACGTGGTACGGTTAAGTGATGTTGGTGTTTGCACCGGTAATTATTGCTTGACCCCAGTTACGCAAAGATGGTGAACCTCCCCGCTATATACCAACCAATCCACTATCAGAGTTGAATTAGCAGTAAATGCGGTTGGTGAGATCCATATGAGAAGATCAATGGTATCAGTCTCCAAAGCACGGACGGCCTAGTCAACCGTCAGGATTTCTCCCAGTGTGCTTAAAGCAGTGAAACCGAAACGTAAGTAAATCCAGCTTCCCCGTTGAAATTGAAGTAAAGCTGTCTCAAGAAGAGCAAATGATCCATGAATAGTAAAAACCATAAACCAAACAAATAGTAAATGCACACGTATAAAAAAATCGACAACAATAATCACCTACCTACCTTGTAGTTTACCAAAAGCTATCAATGATCCAGTTAGTGTAATACCACCAATATATGTTCCTAAGTAGGCCACAGTCTTCATTAATTGTAGTGCACCGTGTGAATCAGAAGCCAATAACGAATGAGGAGCTTCAACCATATAATTTGCAACACAGGTGAGAACAGCAGCAGCACCAACCAGGCTATTCAAAATCATGGCGTAAACACAAAAATGTATGATTAAAATCTAAATGAAATTTTGAAATAGAAAAACAAACAACAAAAGGGATCAGATTCTTATAATGCCTATTATACTGGGTGATGATTGAAGGTGAAATGAAAATTTGGATCACTGCCGGATTTGAACCAGCTACCATCGGGTTTCCAGCCCGATGCTGTCACAAGTTGAGCTGTGAGGTCCGACTGCTGACCATATTAATTATAATATTCGCTGATTTGTTTAGCCACAGCTAGAAAACACCCAAGTGAATGGGGTATGACCGGCTACCGTATGCATACCTAAGTTTCAGTCTCACCATTCAACGACTTCCATGTCTGACCCAGAGCGCATGGTGATCAGGCCGTTCATTCACCACGGACTTCGATTATACGTGATAGTTAAATTCATCATTCAGGAATCATTTAGTGATAAACTCATCTGCATCCCTGATTTTTCGTGGGTCACTAAACGATCAATGATTTATTACCTACGGTGTTATTTTAAATTAAAGCTGTAACAAAATAAATGAATAGATATGAGAAGTAAACAATAACTGCACCATATGGAAATATATTTGTGGTAGAACAAGAAGAAACCAATAGTTACGAAGTTGCAGGAGACAGAGAAATCAACAATATAGTTGTTTGGTAACTGTAATTTCCTGCTGCTATACAGGATCAAACTGCTCGACCTCCGGTCGACAGATGGGTTGCTATGCGGATGCTTCGATACTGCCGGATATTCGACAACATAGCTGTTATTTTGTTTTTAAAGCTTTGATATGACATAAAGTGTCTAGAGTTTGCTTTCACTTATGCAATAACATTTTTATAATATCTGACATTTGTGTTTTATCCATTATCTTCACGTGATAAATATGCTTTCAAAAAAGTTAACAAATGAAATGTAGTTACCGATAGCTGGCAAGTATAACATGGTTAACCTCAACCAAGATGTTGTCAATAAGCCTATCATTAGTTAGGCGTAAGTAAATGGTAAAGCCTGTTTAGGATAATTAAAGATGCCCAAAATACCGCGTTGAACACTTTGAACGATATTTTAAAAAACTTTGCGAGATGACAGCGCATCCATCATAATGTCAAGCGATCTACTGCTTTTGGACGGTTCACAAGTTAATGAGGGATCCAGACATCACTAAATACATCACTACATCGGTTACTATTATAAGTGATGCCTGAACGCCATAACATCTAACCCCTCAAAAATACATCATTTTTAATGCACAAAGGCCTTTTTAAAAGCTCCTAAACGTCGGGTGACGTATACACAAAGAATGCTTTAGATAGAGTGACAAAAAACAGTACTAAAATCTAGGGGATTCATATATTATTAGGTAGTGAGGAACGACATTCATCAAGAACCATCGTTATCTTATTTAACTTCCAGCGTTAAAAGTGATCTAAACTGAATGCTTCTCAAAACGAACCTTTACTTGATCAGTAGAATTTTACCGATAAATGAAAGCTAACGAATTTATTTTCGGTAACATCATTCTCAGAATCTGTATAATCACACTCAAATAATTAACCAGCGTATACATTTAATGGTAAACAGATATCAACAGTAATCTTGTCCAACAGTAATTCAAACGCAAAAGACAAGAAAAGAAAAAAAAATGGATGGTAAACTTGCTTTTGAACATACAATTCTGTCTATCGATTCCATATTGGTAAAGCTTCATCAATGCATAATAGATATTTACTAAAAACTTTTCAAAGCTTCGATTAAATTTCATAAACTATACGAAATGAATCTTCTAAAATCTCACATTCACAGTCGTATAAGAGTTGTAGAATGAAACTTTTGATTCATTTCAATTCAATCTTGTTGACCCAGGTTGGATTATGTTCATATTGACAGTGACAAATCTGTCGTTGTGTACAGCTTAATTCCACTGAAGTAGATGAACTGATGTATATACACTGAAGCAATGAAAAGTGATAGTTTATTTCTCGGAGAGGTGTTCACCGTCGGACGGCTAATATAAGTGATTCATAAACTTGTCGTATAGAATGTCATCTGCTGAAATGTCGTAAAATTCTGAATTTAAAAGTAGTTTCCTCTTATCTACCATAACCACAAAAAAACACTATCACACTATTTAAAACATTAGATTTCGTTCATCGGAGTGATAATAAAACGCTGACTAAAATAATAAAGTAGATTTACAAGTTAAGATCAGTCTAAGTCAGTAAACATGACTGTTAGTTTGGACAACAAAGAAAAGTGAAGACCCTCTGCATGAAATCCCCTCAAATAATAGGAACCGAACATATTGAACAAAATGATCGGAAAAGGATTGCATTTTGATTCAACTAGAGCGAGATCACATTCTAATGATCCACTGAACTATCATTTTTAGTAGTTTAGAAAAGCAGAAAACACCTATAGGGTCGCATGTAAAGGTTTGAGAGTTTGATAATTTGATTTAGAACCAAATATTCTTTGTTTATCTTGGCAACAAAATTTTCCATATTTCTGGTATTTGTGTTACATTATTCCTCTTACATGTGTGATTCGATAATCAAAGATTCAGTAATCAATCTCTCCACCTAAATGTATCAGACTTAAGTATAATGGTTTTATCCCATACTATTGTGTGGTTTTATAATTGCATGCATAACTATGACCGAGTTTTCTTCTAAATTCCAAGTTAGTATTCATCGTAGACTGACATCAGTTGGAGGGACAATAGAAACCTGGGAGAACTGGACAGCTGTTACGTCCTAGTATAGGACTATTCAGCAGTGAGCACCCACGACCCCGCCAGGGAATATCAACTTGAAATATCTCTAAATCCCCACAAACCCCTCAAAAATGTTTTAAATTCCTTACCTTACTAGAATCTACCAATTCTGATCTAGGTAGGCTTTTGTCTTCTGTAAGCCTAAACGACCCTGCCGGTTGACTAATGGACCTATGTATTCGACCTTGTTATCGTTGCAAGGGATTTGGTTAATACTAGTAACATATATTGTTAATAATAGTGGCAATACTGTAAAGAGAGGATTCAAAACATCTACAGTATTACCATACTAGAAAGGTACCTCAAAGACATTGCTTAGGATTTTCAACAGGGTTTTTTAGATTAAAATATCCTATTGGTCCAATTAAACAGAATGATTTAATTTACTAAATTTCTTGCGATGACTGAGAGGTCAAATACACAGGTCAAAGTAGTCAACCGGGGGGATCGTTCAGGTTATCCGAGGACAAAAGTTTAGCTAGGTTAAAATTGGTAGATTCTAGTAAGATAAAGCTTTTAGAAAAAAGCCCAGCTGTGGCTATACATGCAATTACACACAACCAAATTGGAATGATCATGAGCAATAATTTATGCCTAAAACGTCATCAAGTAAATCATACTATATCACTGTGTCTGCATATCAAATAAACAAATCTAATATGGAATTAGATGAGATGTGATTGAAAAGTTGTATTGTGATTTTCTTCTGCCCTTAAAGTTTTCAGGCTGTAATACTCTAGACAGAAAGTCAAATGAACTGTCAAATAACTCAACCTATCAAACTATTTGATTTGTTGTAGACCATGATACTTCTAGATAGTAGTCTATGTACTACGCTTCCGAAAATTTCCACTCGGTTCGTTAAAGTTTATACAACAGGTTAGTTACACTAGCACTTAAACACAATAAGTAAGACTCATATATTAGAACGGAAACGAAAACAGGATTTCACTCAGTCAGAAGTTACTGACACTAAACGGAGTACTTCCTAGTTTCACTTAGCGAACCATTGTTTTGATTCTATGAAGCAGAGAGAGACTGAGTACAAAGAATTGAATCATTCAAATTATTCTTATCTGAAAAGAAGCTCGAATTGATACATTGGAGAGATTTTCAACTACCTAGATTGATCAGTAAAACACCATACAACTTTCTTTTTTTTCTTAATCACTAAACATAAGTGAGAAAAAGTAGGCATACAAACTAACATACCTATGGAATAACGCTACCATCTGTGGAAGATCTGTAACTTGTATGCGTTTAGCAGCAATAGCGCCTATCAGTGAACCACCAGCTAGACAAGCTGCCATTTGAATAAGTAATTCGGCATTAGGTTGTATAAGTCCTAGCGTAGCCATTATTCCGCTTGTTACACCGATCATGCCAATGGCATTGCCTAATAAAAAGGAAAGAAGTGTTGGCGATATATGAGAAATAGAACAAAATAATCCAATCAAGAGATTGTACTAGAAAGTGACTGGTTAATAAATCACAGTCTAAGTAGTGCAGGAAAATCATGTTAGCTGAATGATCTTCAAGTCATAATTTATCTATAACGTACCTTGTCTCTCAAGGAAAAATATTATGAACAATAATTTACAACCCAAAATATTACATATTGGTGCTATATGAAAAAGTATAGGATTGTTTGAGAACAATTTTCTTCTGCTTCTAGGACTCTTAGAAAGATGTAATACTAGTTCAATCTGGCAGTGAAAATAAAATACCAAAGTTTCAAAGATAGCGGACAGACATAAAGGGAGTCGACTAAAATACAATGGGCGAAATTAATCTATATCAAACAATTCGTTATCTAATGTAAATTGTCTTTTAGTATCATGTGAGCATATAAGCGAGACCTACAGTAGGATAAAAACTATTTGATGATATACGGTCCATAAAATCTATACAGAAAATTAAAAATCGAGTTAAAGTTTGCCATAGATCTTCAGTTCACTGTTCAAAAACTTACTGAATGTATTTGTTTGTGACCAGCTCGAACAAAGGTGGATTAAGATTTGATCAAATCGTAAATGTTGTACATTCACGTTGATATGTATTGAATTATACAACGAGTTGCTTGGACTAGTAATTGGCAGTCAATCAAATTACGCCTAATTGATCTAAATGTAAGATACACACTGCACGGCATGCAATTACATCCCCAATAGGGTTATGGGTGTAGTTAGTAAAAGACTTCAGAACTACTTGAAACTGCTTTCTGCTGATAGTCGATTGAAAGCAACAGTCTGAACTGGCTGGTTGCTGACGCAATCTCAGTCCGGATACAGAAGACCCGTCTGGCACTTGCCAACATGTCAACTGGAGAGATATCCGACTACCTATCAAAGGACGAGTAAACTGTACCTCAATCCCTTCTATCCTGTTATACACTTGTGAGACATATTCATTCAAAGGAGAAGACATGAAGTGGTTACAGGGTTTTGACCACAGATGTTTTCGTAGTATTGCTTGCATTTGATGGAATCACCATGTGAGCAATGTGGAGACAAGACGAAGGGTACTAGGCAAAACAGGCAAGTTAAGGTTGTGAACCTTCATCGACTGAGGTAGCTTAGGCATGCATTGCGCATGTCAATCTACCATCTACCTCGGTGTGCCACGTTTAACATTGGTTTCGCTGTTTGTCTAACAGCCGATTACTAAGAAGATCTGTTTAATAACAGATGGGAAATGTAAGCACAAAATATCAGGAGTGGTCACAAATACGTATGTAAAGATATACAGCATATTCCAGTAATTCTGTGTCCTTCACTATTATACCAAGTCTTTCTCGCTTCAAAACAATAACAAAAATTTGATTTTCAGTTAGCAGTTGACTAATGTTGACAAGTGTTTATCAACTGTCTTGAAGCATAAACTAAATGCTATAGGTGGTCTGACAGATTATTTGTATTACTTAGTATTTGTCAGAGATCTTCAATCTAATAATGTATAACCTAAGAGTTCATGTTAAGCTGTCTAGGTACTTTACAAGTACTGACCGTGACAGCAATTTAAAGTAATTAACATGGTAAAACATAATTCATAAATCACAGAGTAGATAAACATGAAACAGTTAGTAGATGATAACTAACGTGACTACCGCACCCTAAGTGCTGTTTCTTAAAAACTGCAGATATACCATGCTGATAAACGTCAGCTTTATTTAACAAGTGCAAATATGTCCAATGCAAGGATATGCAATCTTTACTTCTCAGATGCCCAAAGAAGGTAGAAATCGCTGAAGATATTCATAAAGTCAGTAAACTTTGAAGATTCTAGCAGACACCTAAACTAAACAAGCATATAGTGGACTGGATGCTTCTACAGAATCGATGCTGGAGGTTTTTAAAAAAGCCAAGGTCACTTGCATATTGATACGTGGAGCTATTCACGTACGTATGTTAACCATGAAATAAATAAATAAATATCTATTCCTATTTCTGATGAATTGAATAATATGTGCATTTGGATCTGGAGGGTTATAAGCGAAAAAAAGCAGTTGAAAATACTTCTTAACTTTCAAGAAATTTTGGATAAAAGTTAACATAAGTTGAAAATTCATAATACATAATGATCAACTAATAACATACCAACACGACAACGTTTTTGACTTGATAGAGCAGTCAGAGCTCCGATACAACACAATGAAGAGGCTAAATATGTAGTTTGATGCATATCAGCTAGAGTTGATGGCGGCATTGTAAGTACAGCATAGCCATAGGCAGCCAATACTGTAGCAGCTGGGATTGTGAATAGATAGTTATATTCAGGTGGATCAGTGGGACGTTTAAACATGTCCAACATTCTTTGGGTAACAACAAAACCACCACCAATATTAATAGCTGATAAAAGAGTTGCTGAAGCTGCCAAACCTTCAGGTAAGCAAGACGGATACAAACCACCACCCATAAGGAGCAACCCTCCAACTGCTGTAATACCTGATACAGCATTAGTAGCAGACATCAGAGGAGAATGAAGTGATGAAGTAACACCCCAAACTGTATGATAACCTTGATTTAGAAAAGAAGAAAAGTTTGACAGATAAACAGGCTGAAAAAGCGACAGTGAAAAAAAGTGAAGCATTTTTTGCTCAATTAGATTCAAATTAAGTTTTAAACAACAAATAATTCAAGACGTCAGTAACAGAATATTCAATTTCCTTATTTCTGAGGAATAACAGCAAAACTGAGAGCAGCTAAATATAAGCATGAATCTTAAGATCGATTCTAAAATGGATAATTATACAACTAGACGCCTGACGATAAAAGTGAAGAACCTAATATGGAAATGTAAATGTTCAATCTGTTGACATGTGAACAGGAAAATTAAAAATACGTTATGTGATGACTCACTGTCAGCCACTTTGTGTACATTCGCGCAGTAAGCGGCCGTGAGCCACACGTAATGTATGAAGGCTATTGATACCCCCTGGCTGCCCAAATCTCGGTAGGCGGAGAGTGGGCTCGAACCAGTAACCTACCGGTTAAAAGTCATCTCTGTAAACCACTAAATCACAGCTCTGCATTGATAACGCAAACTTTACTTACTCATAGCATGGAATACCAATCTCAATAGTTTTATGCCTGGATTAAGTTGTCTTCATGGTTACTTATGATATCTACAAGACCAAATGTCAGAAACATAGGACCTATTGTATATGGAATACTGATAGACATGTAATTTCTCCAACTTTTATCGAAACCTCTAGCTAATGTATATTGAGACATGGATTCAGATGCATCTTCTGAGATAGTTAACGTTTGTCGAAAATTGGTGGTCATTGCTGAATTACTCACCTCTTGGTCCTCTGTTAGTAGACTGCTTCATAGCAAACTTAGAAAACACCATTTTACACACGATGATTAAAACGTTTAACGTAAAATAAGAGATACATGGATGATAGATTTACAGTCAGCAATAAAAACGGTGATTCAGAACTCATACATTAAAAATACAGCAGTTTTTACCAGTCCATTAAATTTACACTCAATTCAGAGGCAGATAAGTTTCTTTTACTAGACCTCATGATAAGGAGAAGACAAGGTAACTCCCCTCAGGGATTGATTTATAGGAAGTCAGCATGGAACAAACAATATATACATTTATAGACTTGGAAGTCACTGAACTGATAGAAGAACTTAATTTATTCATAATCTTTGAGAATCAGATGGATTGCATAGAACAGATGATCAATGACGAACAAGATAAACTCCAGTTTGCACTCATTTAAAATAGTTACTCTTGTAAATTTGTAAAAAAAAGCTTGAAGCCGAAACAACTACACACCGGACGACTTTCTACAGTTTAGAATAAAATCCTGTCTATGGATTTCGACTTCGTAGGTGAAAAGGTATCAGAAATTCTAAAAAAGTGACTACCTAGATGTTTAGCATTATTCAAGAACTGTTGTTTGCCCCGGATTCATCAAAAACAGTTTGTTAACTTGGGAACATTACTCACTGGGAAACAGATACAACCAGCTGACGAGTGCCAAATAGGACGAAATGCATGTTTTGGATTCAACTGCTAGCTAATATATATCGCTACTACCAACCTAATAAAAGGTTACGAATCTAAGTAACATATTTCTGGATTTCCTCATCTATCAACCAATAAACGTAAAGAAAATAGTTAAAATGTAGACAGTAATAACTTTAATAATTCCATAATAGAAGGTAGAACAAAGTGAATAAACCAATATGACACAATGAAAAAGTTTGTGAATGGTTATCAGTATGAAAAAGATATGATTACTGCAAAACAATACTTTTTGTCCTATTATAAGATGAAGAAAATCAAACCAATTTACAAGTTAATGAAAGTATATACATACAATTAGGTTTACAGACGAAATTTTCAATCATTACACCAATACTTACCTACAATACTTGAAAGACCAAATGTTGTCAACATTGTAGTAAATGCCGGAGAAGGTGAATACAAACCAACACCAACTAAGCCAATCAAACCAACGGAAGTGGAGAAGGTAGAACGAAGTTTACTTTTTAAAATCAATGATGAATCATTTGGTTGAGGTGTAACACTATTAACAGGTTTAACGGTTGATTCCTGTTTAACAGGTTGTGGTTGAGATCGCCTAGGTGGAGGCCACATAAGTTTTCCCTTGATAAAAAAATTTATGAAAAAACGAAACAATCTATTACTAGATAACCAACAACAGTAGTATAAATAGACCGAGATGCTTTTTCAAAAGATTAAACAATTAAAGGTTTAACACTACGAGTTGAATAATTAGTTCCTCTGATAACATTGACTATTAATTATGAGGTTTCCCGGGATTTATTGATTTTAGGTTGGTATTCATCATGCAACGGCATCATTCGGGGCAACATTGGGAACTTGAGAGCACGGGACAGCTGTTTCGTGTTAGTCTGGGACTCCTCAGCAGTATGCACCCACGACCACAACAGAGCTCGAACACAGAACCTTCAGGTTCCACGGCCAGCACGCTACCATTGAGCCACTCGGTTGGAACCCAATGATCCATATTTCCTATTCCTGTCAGTTCACGATACAACGCGACCTCCATCCAATACCATCGTTGAGTAACCGTCCTCAAGTTCGACTTGGTTTGCCCCATTGATCAAAGCTTATCACTAGAACCTCAGAAATCACTTCTAGAAGTGAGTCACTAATGACCAATAGACAGTAATTCAATTTTGAGGTTTCAGTTACTCAGCGACGGCATTGGATGGAGGTCGCGCTATATTGTGAACTGATAGGAGTGAAAAAAGGATCATCGGGTTCCAACCGAGTGGTTCAAGCGAAAAGCGCTGACCGCGAAACCTCAAGGTCCTGGGTTCGAGTCCCGTTGCGGTCTCGGATGACGGCTGTTGAGGAGTCCCATACTGGGACGAAAAGGCTATCCAGTGTTCCCAGGTTCCCAATGTTTCTCCTACTGATGTCAATCCATGATGAATTCCAATATGAAACACTGATTGTCGTAAAATGTAAACTACAACTGAGAGAATACAAAAACAAATTACTAAACTAGTTTCCATATCAAATGTGAACAAAGTTAGGCGTAATTTAACATTGTTCACGGCAGATGGTGAGTTGACGAGGAGGTATAGAGTACTTTGACTAGTCAGATTCCAGAACTGAAACTTCACGGTATATTTTGTTTCTTATCAAACTAATGGTTTTTAGTTAATCTAGCATCTCTACGGTTTACGATTTAAACCAGTTAAACAGTTCTTTTATTAGCTGTGGCTTATTGGTGTAGGGAGATGACTTTTAACTAGTGGGTCATGGGTTCAAGCGCTGTTCCACCTACCCAGGTTTATGCAGTCAGGTAGTATCACTAGCTCACATAGAATAGGTGTGGCTCATTCCCGCTCACTACAAAAGTGTGCAGAAGGTGGCTGGGTGCATTTTAATTCAACTTCTAAAGGGAATACCAATTAGTGAAGAAATTTTTATAAAATCGCCATCTTCTTGCAGATCATATCAGCTGAAGTACTACTACTCGGCTGTCTACAGTGAAGAAGTTGATTTTTATAACCAACCATTTGTTGAGGCTGAAATCATGTATTAATTAATCTTAACGTAAACAGCCCTAGAGAGCGAAAGAGACCTATTCATCATTCAGATAGTGTAATTATATGAATTTCATGTGAATAATGTCAAGCATATGAGCAACACATTTTCAAATAGGATGAAACGCGAGTCTTGGATTTTTCTGCTAGTCACCGAGATCGATATAACATCATGAATAATCAGAAGCATCGAGGCATCCGCATAGGACCCTATCTGCCAACAGCAGAGGTTGAGCGATTCGGCCCTGTATAGCAATGGGAAATTACAAGTATCAAAACAACAAGTGATACTCGTTACACACGAGGTAACTACTGGGCGTCAGCGGCTTAGTGTATAACGATCTGGCGTTTGAAGCGAAGGGTACTAGGTTCAAGCCTCAGAGGGAACAATATCACTCACTGAGACAGAGGTACATCCAGCTTAATAATAAGTCCCAAATAGGACGAAACGCGTATCCCGGATTCCTCTGCTAGTCATCGAGATCAACATAATCTGACGACACATTCTCTTGTTAAGTCAAATTGTACAAAGATGTAAAATGAGTGGATAAAACAAACAATTTTGATGATAGAGTATTTATAGTAAGAAAGGTGAATAACATATTTAGAAATCAATCTTAGTAAATAAAAACCAATAAAAATTGCAAAGGTAGATGTGGTGAAGTACGAACTGTTTTGTACACACAAGTGTGGTTTCGATTGTCTATGGCAACTACTTTCACAAATCTTGATAAAGACTCCTCATCTTCACTGTATAAAACTTTGAAAACTGTTTGAACATTATCTCCGTCATCCGTTTCCACAATATATTTGGAAATGAATGAAGAGAAGTATATCCCAAAATACACTTATCAAACCTTTAGGTTCCGAATGCTTTCGAAACCGTTTGCGTACATGTTACTCCTTACTATTTTTTCTTTGATAGTCTGAAGGTTGTCGTTTACAAAAATTTCTGACGCCTAATTTTTTTTCATTCTCATTTCAGGTGTATACCCAAGCTATTCAAGCAACGGATAACAGACCTGAGTCTTACTAGATAAAGATAAGGAATGAAACTTTACCAGTACATTTTGTCCACTTCACGGCGCCATATTGTAGCCTGTAAACCAATAAATCAGACTTCACTCACTGGGAGCAGAATACGAAGTATTTTTATCACCTATTGAACAGTATATCATAAGGGTATGATAACAATGCAAGACAAAATGGACGAACCAACATACTGACGACCAGTATTTCGAGTTATAATCAATATTGATGCAAATCTATGCCCTAGGGTAATCCATACCCTATACAGCTTCACTGAGTGTACTTGGTGCTTTAGTGTATATATAAAATGTCAGTGAGTAGACTGTGTATATACTGAACGAGTCTCCTAAAGCATTCAGCTGAGAACTGTTTAGTTAAACAACTTGATAAAAACTTAAAATTATTAACACATATCTACACAGAGAGTGACCTTAGTTAAAACACTATTCAATATGAATTCTAACAAAAACTTTCAAGTCTCTTTCGGAAGCAAAAACAGGCTCAAAAAGTTGTGGAAAATTAAGCAAGAAGAAATGAAGCAAGATACCACTTTTTTTGTAAATTTAGCTCGAACAATCGATAGTGAAATCGGAGATACCTAAGCTTATGTCTATAAATACGCTTATAACGAAGTCAAACAAGAAAGGTGACGGGGCGCGTCCCTGAGGGTATATCACTAGTTGTTGTCAATTCAGATGGCAACTCTCTATAAGCCCTTATACAAATGGATGAGTTGGAGTAGAGGGTTGTGATTACTGTTACAACCTTGCTCGGTACTCCGTCAACGGTCAGAACTATCAAAACACCTCTCGGTCAATAGAGATGATGCCACTCTCAAATATAAAAAATATAGCTAGGTTGGCCTTTAGTGACTATGCCTATGTTTCATAACCGGTCAAAAGGGCGAAGATATGACCGATGCACCTTCATCCAGTTCTGACACCAGCCTGGTTTCCCAGAGTTTGCTGTTATCAAGACCCAGTTAGGTGTCCGGTAGGTACGATCCTATGATCTTGGACACGATGTTAATCAAACTAACCCACCTCTAGTAGCCATACGAACACTTTTTCTTCTTCCTATAAACTGGAATGACCAGTGAAGTAGACCAGTCTGATGGGACTACCTCTGATTCTCATACGCTACTGAATAACTACGTTATGCCAATCAGGAGAGTTAGAGGACTGACACCAGCGTCTCATTCAGTTACGGGCTGGATGCTAGGCAACTGAAGCATGGTTATGGGCTATTCGAAATGTGGTTCAAAGTGTTCCGTTCAACCTGCCCCTGAGACGTTATTAGAGATCAATCCATTTCAGCTATGGTCTCATTAACCACCCTCTTCTGCCTACCGATATCCTCAATAGGTCTAAAACGTTGCTGAGTATTACCTAACGCTATTGATCTCTCCATCGCCTTCACCTTCGTCACCCACCATTGGCTGTGGTCATTGAAAAGACTCTTCGTCAATTTACGTTCATACTACTTTCACTCTTCATTGTGGTTACAGTCAGCTGGAATCAGTCTTCTCCCAGTAATCCGTTCCGCTGGGGTTGCAGAAATCCCCTGGTTTTTGGTAACCTTTTGAAGTAAGTTACCACCTGTCTTGATCGCTGTTTCTACAGTAGACTGAACACCACGCAAAACTTCATCAGGAGGAAAATAGCTGCCATGTTCAGTTAGATGTTTAGACACTTCTAATCTGAATACACGCTTGACGTTCACATTTTCCAATCAAGCCCAAAGACCCTTCGTTGCTATCTGTTTCCTGAGACGAGTAAGATGCAGACATACAAGTGTCTGTACTGGTGCGTGATCGGAGTCCACATATATCCAAAAACGGCAGCAATTCTCCACCAATCGTCCCCAAAGATGGCTTTCAGCAATATCATCTATCAGTGCCCATTGTTAGTTTGATGCCAATGGACGATAAGTGAGAGTATATCTCCTTACGCTTGAAGTTAGTGCTGGTCAAAAACAAGTGATCGTTAGAGCGAAATTGTAAGAGACGACCACCGTTGTCGGTTCGTTGGCATGGGATACCGCAAATACTTCCCAGGTGGCTCAGCTCACCTCTCCTACGTGAGCATCGAAGTCATATGCTTCTGTGACTGTATCTGGATATTCTACTCTATATAGCGAAAATCACGCCTTTTAAAAGAATTGATCCTTTGAATCATTCAAACGGCAGTCGGTAAGGGCGTTAGTAGAAGTGATGAACAGGTATCAGTGAGTGCCACGAACCTTCCAAGTTCTTACAGATCCATTCAGTCTGACAATATACAGGCGACTATTGACTGGTATCCAATCTAGAAGTATGCTTTCTGCTATGTCTACGCTGGTGACTTCAAGTTAGCTAGCCGTTAAACACTAGGACACACGCAAAAGTGAGCTTTTGAAGATTCTCCGTATTGACCAGGTGATGTCAAGTGAATAACCACACTTGGATCTTCTATGCACATCTCAGGAATACAGCATACATCCATGACCCGAGACACAAATTCTTCGTTAAGTATGAGCTGTTATCTGATTTGCCATAGGGTTCGGGCGGTGCAATCTCCAATGTGAGATTAGCAGTGAAATTTTAGGAGATTAAGAATAGTGTTTCACTCTTGCAGATAGCTAGCAGTGGTCTCAGAGTGAGAGATTGAGGAAGTCGTTAGACGTTTAATACAGGGATCCGAAAGTGAAGGCAGGAGTGGACGAAAATGTAAGGAGGATAGGTTAAGGTTGGCAGGGTTTTGTAAGCTGCTGAAATCGTACGCTGGGATGGTACTTCCCGGTCACCTACAACGTGGATGTTATTGCTACAAGGTGTCTGGAAGAGAAAAAGAATTAGTTTTGCTTGACCATAAGATATCTCGCTGAGGCTTATCATATCACGTGCAACCTTTTTACAATCATTGGACTGAGATCTACTTGTACAAACTCCACTGTTCCAGATGATATCAGTACCTACTGTAAGCCTATTTTAAATCATCCAAGCTCTACAAACCACCAATGGGATTACAGTCAAAAAACTTTATGAGCTAATGTTATCAATAAAAATGATGGAAGTGAGTTTATTAACTTGATACAAGTTTACTGAATAGGTTAAGAGCTACATCTGTAGCGTAAAAGCTTGTAAAACTAGCCTGCTTCACATATGGAAGTCGAATGGACAAGAAATGAATACGTCACTTAGTAGTTGGCAGTTGAAAGCTTGGGCTAGTGAACGGAAATTCCAGTATGCTATTTTCCAGATTAGCTCGAACACCATTATTTTCCCCCTAAACTACTGTTTCACCGATAAGAAAACCACCGTAGAGAAGGCTGTTTCAATATACTTGAAATATATTAAACTTTAGTTAATGCAGGTCCATGATCTCACCTGCTAATTTGTTTTTGTTCTCCAAAATGTTACTTTTACCCTGAAAACCGTTAACACAATGGATACACCTCATATTACCAATAATTCGAAAATAACAATGATCAAATACCTATGACATTTTTGTCACCCGACTTAAATGAACATGTCTAATAGTTGTCAAGTTGCATTAAAGAATTCATGATAGTGTCGAAATATAAGAATTCTGTTACTGTTAGTTGCAATCCATAAAACAAAGTAAATAAAGCGAGAAGAGATATTATTCAACCATTGGAAGTACAACCAAATAACAACGAAACTTACATTGTGTAACACAATGCTATCACGAATGACATCATCCTCCAAATTAATATGAAACCGATCTTTTACATCTAAAACAGAGAAGCTATACTGAATATTGCAGAATAAGCTAAAATGATGAAAGGATTTTTAGTAGTAAAGATAGTAAAAGATCACATATACTATCTTAAGTTTATGAAACATTACTATAAACTTGAATCATTTAAAATTGCTGTCTTTGGAAACGTTTTGTATAGCATATGAAAGCATTCAGTACCTGTACAATCAATAAAAATGACTGATTGACTGACTGACTGACTGACAAAATCAACGTAGAACCACGCATACAGATGCATCGGTTCAAGATATCACACTTCACAGTAGTACACAAAGAGCAGATAGATAGAAAAATAGTGATGTCAAAGTAGACAAAGGTGTATGAGAGAATAAACAATCTGAAGATAACAGTTAGTGCAAATATTCAAGCTTTAGAAGATGTCAAAGAGTGAATACATCTGTGTCACTGTGACCAATTTTCAGACATGTCATCAAGAAACCTCAATCATTGATTTCTTTCGTCTCGCGGACATCAACTAGGGAGCCTTCATCTCTCTCTTACACGACTCGTATCAACAATAAGAGACTGCATAGACTGGTGCAGGGTCTTGATCTGGCCACGTTGAACACTTTTTCAATTTAATCCAAATTCGCCTAGTATGGCATGTCAAGGTAGGAGGTGAATCCATAAAACACACACACGAATCACACACCTATCTAAATACAGTCTTCAAATGAACTAGAAGTATGAATCGAAACAGTACTATCAAGATAAATTAGATGCTTTCAGTAAAAATATTTTCAGTATTCAGTACGAGTGGTCAAATGAAAGAGATGATGACTTCGCATGAATAAAGTCAGCATAAAGTTAGGTATTCTTGAGTAAAAGACATCAGTAAAATGAACACTTAGCACATCTTACTCACACATTGCCCTCTTTATACTGACATTTATTAAAGTTGCCTTATTTCTCAACTAGACCGCTACAATGACAAAACGGTTCCCGTCAAAAACTATTTTAATTGGTCAATCTGAAACACACAACATAGAAAGCTAACGAAGTACGCTACTACACAGAAATCAATCACACAACTATGCAGTTTCCATTAACTTAATAGAAGCAATTTAGGGATCGAACTAATGCTTCATTCAGTCAATCTTAAGGCTAGCTTCATCGGGGATGAACACCGAATCGTTCGTTCCATTCAGTCACCAGAAATGTTAACGTACACCATACAGCTTTTAAACAATTTCAAAGTTATTCATACATGTGCTCACCAGAACATCTAAGAAGTAGAGTTTTCAGTTATTTTTAGTTGCCATGGTAAATTTAATTAACTTGTGATAATCATTGAATGATTGTAGTATATATTAAAGATTTCATATATCAGTTCATTTATGTGACTACGACAAAATTCAATTAATTTGAGAACATTTCAAGATTATTTCGATGTTTAAATAAAGTGTTCAAACAGGCAAGTAAAGACCAAAAACACTTAAAAATATGCAGTTAAACCAGTATAATACAAAAAATAGTTTAAATTCGGAGCGAAAAGACTCAATCAATATCCTTAATTAATCAGTAAATACTTGTATATTTAGCTGTAAAATTTTCGCTTGTTGAATTGAGGTTCTCAAATTAAATTTTGGGGGATTTGTCGGGATTTAGAGATACTTCAAGTTTTTATTCATCGTAGAGTGACATCAGTTAGAGGAACAAAGGAAAGCTGGGAGCATTGGACAGCTTTTTCGTCCTAGTATAGGACTATTCAGCAGTGGGTACCCACGGCCCCATACCGCCAGGGATCGAACCCGCGACCTTCAGGTTCCGTGGCCAGCACGTTGCCATTGAGTCACTGGGTGAGAATCCAATCGTCCATATTTCCAACTTCTGTTAGCTCACGATATAGAGCAACCACCACCCAGTGTCATCGTTGAGTAAACTGTCCTCACGAACATCAGGCTTTTCCCCCACCGGTCACGACTTCTCACTGGAACTTCGGTAATACCTCTCGAAGCTAGTCACCTAGTGGCTCAATGGTAACGTGCTGGCCACGGAACCTGAAGGTCATGGGTTCGATCCCTGGTAGTGTGGGGCCGTGGGTACGCACTGCTGAATAGTCCTATACTAGGACGAAAAAGCTGTCCAATGCTCCCAGCTTTCCTTTGTTCCTCTAACTGATGTCACTCTACGATGAATAAAAACTTGAAGTATCTCTAAATCCCGACAAATCCCCCAAAATTTAATTTGAGAACCTCAATTCAACAAGCGAAAATTTTACAGCTAAATATACAAGTATTTACTGATTAATTAAGGATATTGATTGAGTCTTTTCGCTCCGAATTTAAACTATTTTTTGTATTATACTGGTTTAACTGCATATTTTTAAGTGTTTTTGGTCTTTACTTGCCTGTTTGAACACTTTATTTAAACATCGAAATAATCTAGAAGATTTTTTTAAAAAAAAAGACAATTCAGTGAAGAAAGTTTCCTTTTCAACGAATCATTTTCAAAAACTACACAGTTATCATCATAGTTGCCATAAAATTCGTATTCATCAATAGGTAATGGGTCAACACACAAAGTCATCAAAAACGGTCAACAAAGTGATTATGGCTAGGAGGTCAACTCGAGGTCATAAGAAGTCGCTTATAGGAAGATAACAAAGAAATGAATAAACTGTCTTAGGGAAATGACAACCAAGGTAAACTTAGTGATTGAATTTTTCTCGCTTAAAAGCAGAGATCAGGCTTAAACCATTGAATTACCAAAGCTTCTGATATGTTGAGATGACGAAAACACATTCCCTTCAGAATGCTTGGTTTGACTTTGCAAATGACTTTCAAGGAAAACCCTGATGGAGCCGAATGAACAGAGATAACCAAATGCTGAAGAATCGAGCTATCAATCATTTTAGAATCTCTTTTAGACAGCCATGTATGACAGTGCTCGGAGTTGCCGCTGGATAGAACACGTTTTGTGCGGTATACGTAATCAGCTCCACAAGAGTAGGTGGATTGATAAACACATATAAAGGTGGCTAAAAAAGGTGGTTTATCGTTTATGCACCAGTGAATCAGTTGTTGATTCGAGAAAACAATTCGAAGGTGGGTGGAAAGATCTTCTACAATGCTTTACATAATTAATCTCCTTTGAATTCAATATTCATAAGTAGCATGTTCTTTAGAACCGTAGGGGCTCCCGTTTCGGAAATACTTCTTCCTTCAACATCAATGTCAAATTATAGACATGTACAACACCCATATCTCAATCACATTCACTCACCATCAACCTCGCAACCATCACTGACAACTAACCAGTCAACCAGTCTCACACATCATATCAACACATAAACCCAATCATTAACGTAGTACCAACACACATGATAGATAGCGAAATCAGCACCTAAGTAGTCGAGATGACAGAGAGCAGTCGAAACAGAACTACAACCAATCCAATTATCACGAAACCCACTATCACGACTAACATGAAAACAATGTCTCCATGCACGCATACATGAATGCATCTCCACCACTGACATCCATCCTGGACCATATCACACCCAGTCACTCACAAAACACCGAGCTCACTCGCCTCCACCTCCCCAACTGCCAACTAGACACTTACACACAACGCTGACATCAACTGTCACACACTATATGGTTTCATCTCATACTTTAGACTGCCCACCTCTAAGCTTTCTACAACCTGAACCTACTTCACCTAACATTGTGCCACATAATACAAACAAGGTGAATAGGCATGTCTAACTAATGTCACAGACTTCTTCTCTTTCAATGAATCTTCAAGAATAATCATTTGTTGACAAACACTTTTCGAAGTACTTCCAGAGACTTATTTACTGTATCATCTATACAACTTTTCTCAATTTTTGTGCTGAGTGAATGAAAAAGATTACTTTTCTTGCTTAGTGGAAACCAACTTTAAAATTTAGCATATTCTTCATTCTGTCTTTGTTTCCTGTTAATCAATCTTCTTAGAGAACCATAATGTCTTCTCAACAGAACATCTAAGAAGTAGAGTTTTCAGTTATTTTTAGTCGCCATGGTAAATTTAATTAACTTGTGATAATCATTGAATAATTGTAGTCTATCTTCAAGGTTTCAAAAGTAAGTTTAAATATAATCTCAGAGTGTTTAGAAAATCAAAAACAAGTTTTTTCTGGACATTTCTCTATGTATGCGACAGCTTCTTCCGCAGAATATTCGGATTTTTATTCAACATCGAAATATACACTTTCAAATCGTACAGATAGCCTTGATGTTTATTATCTTCAAGGTTATTGTTCACCTGACGGATGATGAAAGTATCAGGCAGGTAAGCTTGCTGGTTATGGTTGATTAAAAAAACGTGAAGAATGAGACAAGGGTCATAATGAATGTGATAATAATAAACTAACTAGTTATAATGAGATCGAAAAATGTGAGTGTCTGAACCATGGTGGAATAAGAGATTGAACATACTTCTTTTACACGAAGAGATCAGGTTTGAATTGATGAAGTGCCAGTGCTTCCACCGTGCATAACTGTTGAAGACTTACTCCTTTTGTGTCTATGAATTTATTTGTTCCTGTGGAGCTAATTACATAGGGCGAACAGTGTGCACACTTTCCAAAAGTATTTCTGAGCACTATTCTGCATGATTGTCGAGGGGAAAATGTAAATCAATTAACAGTTCAATTCTTGAACATTTAGTCAACTCTGGACATAAAGCTCGATCAGAATCCTCCTTCAGTGTTATTTGTCGACTCAAATGGAATAGTTCAAAAGGAGTACGCCTTCAACAGTTGTGCATAACACAGGCACTGGTAATTCATCAATTCAAACCTGATCTCTTATTCTACCACGGTCTTAACACTTTCACATTTTTCGATTTCATTATGGTTATGACCTTTGTCTCATTCTTCACCTTCTTTACATCTACCGATCAAGTGAACAGTGAATATTTGTATTTCTCATCTACCAACAATTTTCACTTTGTCAAAAACCTTGCCATCCTCATTATTTCCACTGTCTAAAAGATTATTACACAACTACTTTGCATTGATTCCGGTTTTTTAGGACTAACTTAATGATGCAATTATACTCTGTTGTTTAATAATAATAATAATAATACGATTGCACAGCTTTAGAAGAAGGAAAAGAAAATTTTCTTCACTGAATTATCTCTTCTTTTCTCTATGACCCAGTGGACATGCTTTTTCGTCTATGATTGGTTTGGTTGTAACAAACGGCAATTATAGTCAATACAGAATAAAAAATATTAGGTTTCTAATGAACTCATGACGAAGGGACTATGAAGTTGTTTTCTGTTTATTTGGTTTTGAGATAGATTATCACAATACTTTTAGGGATAAATACTTTTGTGTATTAAAATGACTAATAAAGGATAACGACGAAGAAGGTGTAATAACTAGATTGTCGGATTGTTGACATTTTCTGATCTCATGTTAATATACTACAAAAATTAAATTTTGTGTTCTCGATAAATGAAAGAAAGGTGTATGTTCAGAAATTGATGGAAAAATAAGCCATTATTTTAAGTTGGTCTATCGTCTATAATCTCGAGAGTCAAAAGATGTGTAGCACGATACATACTGTAAGTTAATTTTTATAGCGTCAACTTATATGCATTTGATAAAACCGTAATGAAAAACTTAATGATTAATAAAAATTAGTTTAGGTATTACCTTTAAAAACTTACCACTAGATGGAGTCATGGATAAAAGATAATTAGCCACATTATTAGCGAATAATGTTGATGACTGGCCTGCAAGTCGACTAGGTAAATCAGTATAACCAATATGAGCAACATCATGATGATATATCAATTTCCCAGGGACCGTTGTCTCTACATTACCTCCAGCTTCTGAAGCTAAATCAACGATAACGGAACCTGGACGCATTGATTCCACCATAGCCTAAAATGTATATGTATGTATAAGCTTACTGTTTTGGTAATTATGAAAATGTAGATATTTATAAATACTACTTAGCGAACGAAAAATTAATCCAAGATCGGTTATAAGAAATTCTAAAATTTCAATTAACAACAAAATGCTTAATAACTTGAGTACACGCACGATTCCATTTAACCTCACTTAGGCAAATGTAAAATGTAACTATGTACCTCCACCCAGTGTGGAGTGATGTTGTTCCCACTGAGGCCCGAAGCCAGTAACTCATCTCTTCAAACGCCAAAGCGTTGTACACTAGGCTACTGAGGCACGATAGCCATCCCTTGTGCAACAGGAATCAGTTTTTATTTCGATACTTATAATTCTCCATTCTTATACAGGGCAAAATCGCTCGACCTCTGTTGGTACATGGGGTCAGAAAAGACGTGTCAGTCAAATATTACTGGAATTCAGATCAAAATAATAATGCTAGAACATGATGAAATTCATGCGCGTTAAGCCTACCATAAGTAGTCAGAAAATAAAATGTAGTTGTGTTAAGGTAAAATCAGAAAAACAATGATAGCCTGATGAAAAACAATAGGTACGGGGGAAAAATTGAACGGATGTGATCAGACTACATGCAAAGGGGAGGGGATGTGCGTACTCATTTTTATATTCATACATTTATGTGGATGAGTGGATGGGTAGGTATGAAAGAAGGATTCAATAAACAAAGATAATCTAAGAAATATCGGTCTAAGGAAAAAAATAACTGTAGAGCTTGAGGAAGAAGTTATTGAGAAGAATATCCTTTCAATTTGGAGGCTTGTAAGGACCACTTGATTTCAAGGTAGTATTCATTACGGCCTGATATCTTTTGGAGAGCAACTGAAAATCTGGGGCACTAGACAGATGTTTCGTCTTGGTATGAGGCTCCTTGGCGGCACATATCCACGACACCATTGAGAGACTCAGACTTCAAGTCTCATGGTGCACACGTTACTATTGAGCCACTGGGTTAGAATCCGATGGCCTACATTTTGCTACTTCTATAGATTCATGGTGTAGTGGAGCCATCATCCAATGCCATCAGTGTGTATTTGTTCTCATACTCGACCTGAGTAATCTTATAGATTATGACTTCTCACTAGAACTTCATAAAGTTCATCTTCATGCACATGACTAATAGGAGGGAGACAGTTTTTTAGCTAGGAAGGTTTGTGGAGAACCATGGAAAAAAGGGAGCACTGACCAGCTGCTTCGCCCTAGCATGGGACTCCTCGGAGGTGCGTACTTTCAACAGAAATAAAAAAATATGGGCTATTACATTCCGATTTGGTGGCTCAATGGTAACGTGGACGCCGTAAAACCTGAGGGTCATGGGTTGTCTCTAAATGGGGTCGTGGATGCGCACTGTTGAGGAGCTCCATAATGGGACAAGACATATATTTCCTGTGGAGTTTTTTCCTCCATAGTTCTGCAACTGATGTCAGTCCGTGGTAAATACTACTTTGAAATTAATCAATCCTTAGAAACCGACAAAATGAAATAAATAATTCATGTGAACTTAAAGCTGGTAGAGAGATCATACCTTTCAAACTCCTAAGAACATGTGTAACTAACGGTATTATAATCTTGTTATCGTGTTTAAGTTTTGTGAAGTCTTATGTGAACTCATGTCACCTGCTTTATACTGCATATTTTCTCAGTCAAAGAAACAACAGTAAACTTTTTTCATTTGCAACCGATTTGACTGATAAAACTTGGTCAGTATTGACAACAAAGAGTATCGGATTAATCACTTTACGGTAACCAGCCTAGTATAGCGAACATTTAAGATGCAAACAATCCATCAGTAATATATATGCATGTGAAAGGTAACACAATTGGTTCGATCATAAGATACCAGTGGCAGATATATCTAAGTGATAAGTGCAAACAATCCATGTGGAATATCTTCAACGGTTTAACAGTAATTATATTGGACTGAGATGTCTAGCCACTTGGTTTATTGATCACATATTATCACTTCATTCATAGAATTCAATCAGTACTTCTCACTACTTAATAACCGGTGATACATTCGGAACATAAGAGATATTACTTTGGGCAATATGAAAAGTGTATTGAAATGAAACTTACCACTGGAACATATATAACCCATACATTGCCGACTGATACATGAAAAGACAACAGAATGTGACACGAATTAACACCTTCAAAAGTTTCGAAATAAAACAGCATCCCTGATAGATACTTTATGGTTTCTACTGGCTATCTGTTAGAGGCTAGTTCACAATAAATAACCACTTTAAAATTATAAAGATTCAATAGAACAACTAACATTTCATAATATATGTATATATACATATATGGTGGTGGACTGAATCATGCAACAAACTGTGAGGGGCGAGAAGATAGGCATACGCTGTTTGACCGGTGAAAAGACCCTAGAAGATTTGGATTGCGCCAATGATGATTTATATCTAGTGTCGCATAAACTCGAAGATCTGCACGCGAAAACTGACAAGTTGGCAGAACATGCAGAGCAGAGAAGACGGGACTTCCCTTAGGTGAACGTAGAGAAGACAGAGGTGACAGATGAGGATAACCAACCAACAAAAACAAGCACCAATCACCGTCAACGGGAGAAATCTAAAAGAAGTTGTCTCTTTCACCTACCCACCTACCTAGGCAGCATCGTCTCAACTACAGGCGGCACAGGCACAGACGAGGATGTGAAAGCCAGCATCAGAAAGACAGCAAGATAGGCCTTCATTAGTCTGAAATCAGTGTGGAGATCTACTGTGCTGCACTGCACTTAGCATAAAGCGTGAACAAGATCCGGATTTTCAAATCAGTGCTCCTATATGGTTCACAGACTTGGAGCGTTACGAAAAGCATTCCCAACAAACTGCAGACGTGCATAAACGGCTGCTGCCTACGCTGGCTCGTTACTGAAGATCAGATCAAAAGGCCAGGAAGAATAAGCAACAAGGAACTCTGGCCTGTCAATGAAGCAACCAAGAACCTATCACCCAACAAATATGCAGAAGGAATTGGAGATGGATTGAATCGGACATACACTGAGAAGACTATTTGGGGAGACCATACGCCAGGCCGTCGAGTGGAACTGAAATAGGAAATGACGAGTTGAACATCCGAGAGTGACATGGAGGAAATGGTGTGAGGAAGAAACGAAAGCTTCTAGACAGTCGTGTCGCCAGGTTGAAAAGACTGGAGAGAAGATAGTGAAATGGAGGCGTGGTAGTGAAGCCCTATGCTCCACTAGGAACCCAAAGGACAAATAATAATAATACATATATAATACCTTTGTAATAAGTTTCGGTGCTGGTTTCCCAGGAATTAATGCGCTTGTAATGATGATATCTACTTCTTTTGCTTGTTTCACAAATAGTTCCATCTCTGCTTCAAGATACTTTTGAGACATTTCCTTAGCATAACCACCTGTTCCTTCCCCTGATTCCTAAAAGGGAAAACAATGATAGGATAGAAGTGGTACTTATATTTTACACAATTCTATCAATGGTTACGATGAACGTAATCATAGACTATTGGAAAAGTGGGTCACAATCCCTCCATAGGAGAATATAACAAGCTCTTGAACAAAACTGTGAATTTCCGTACTGTTTTGCAGTAAAAATAAACACGAAGTTAAAATGGAAATATCACAATGACTCATCCTGAAGTAGATACAGCGTATAAAGTGAAAGTTTGCAGTAAAATAGCAGCCAGCAATAACTTTTTCATTTTCTCTTTCTACATAAGGATGTTTGTTAGATAACTTTAACTTTGATAAGCATTTATTCAATAAAAGAATAGCAATATGTGACACTTCCTGGCCGCCCATATCATGGAACACTCTTTATTCTTAAGTTACCTGAAAGAGAAAAAGATCTGTGTGACCGTGAAGCCCATGAGATATCTGCTTGAGGCCCATCACACACACAGCCTTTTGAAGATTGTTGGTGTGAGATGTGATTGTTTTAACGCTGGACTGCGAAAACCCATACCGCCAGCACCGGAAGACTATGGGGGCAGGGAGAAGTGTATTGCTTTTGAAGTCAACCTTTTCTAACCCCCTCCTTCCCATACAGAAGACAGCATCAACATAAAACTGCTGGTCATCCACGGAAAGTGCCTTACTGATGTCACACTTCCATCCAGCTAGCTGTACGATTTAGCCTTCAGACACCATCATGGCGTAGGAATTTACACTATAACGGTAAATGCTTTCTGTCCAACCACTATCCAACAGACCTTTCTGTCTGTTATGCTGAAACCTCGAGGGAACAAGCGTTCCAACTAGTGTAGCTCGTTGGGTCATTGTGATATAAAAGCCCGACCACTAAGTCAAGGTAGTAGCTATCGACCGGGTCTCGCCAAGTGAGTAACAGGGAGTTATACGTACAGTGACAAAGAAATTAAAACAATAATATTATTAATGCTAATGAAGAATGGACAGAAAACAAAGGGAAAGCAGTAAAGAAAAGAATAAAATACATAAAATAAAAGGAAATTTAGAATTCAAACAGATATAAAGCATGGAGTCATACGTACCAGCAACACCATTTCTGAACTATGTCACCTAAATTCTTCACCTATCACTAGAACTTTTTCCGAGCATTCTTGCTTAGTGGAAATTTGTTACTGCATGCAATATGCTACCTGATGTATCCCCCAAGGGAGGAGAACAATTTTCATGAAACTGAAAGAGGAAGGAGACGATCAACTCAGCAGATGTATCAGCACAAGGGTTAACGCGGACAAAGGTATTCAATCAGAAATCCTTCAGCAGCAACAAGCCTAAAAATACGGTTAATGTATAATCAATACACTAACAAACAGGATTGAGACCTCCATGATCCCATCGAATTCGTAGTTACTGGCTTTTAGTCAAGTGTTAGGTGATTATAGATCTAAAGATCTTAATAACTAATAAGTGAATTGAAAGAAAACTATCAACAACTGTCTACCGATACTAGAAAATATATGCTTACAATAAATTAGGTTTTATATCTCGCCATTCATACAGCGAGAAACACCATTCAAAGAGGAAACCTTAATCATATTCATCAATGAGAAGTAGTTTGCTCGATTTCTGAAATGCACCTACAAGTAAGCATATATATATATATATATATATATATATATATATATATATATATATATATATATATATATATATATATATATATCCACCACCCGATTGGCGAAACAGTATAGTATATGACTCATGAAAGCTTTTCTATTTGGAGCTATGTAATCCTATTTCCAAACGAAAATAAACATGGGTTTAGTAAACATTTTCTGTCGTCTGACCATAGACCCTTTTTTAGAGCCAGACAACGCAAGCAAGTTTATTGTAAATATGTCTGGGTCAAATAAAATGAATTAACACGAATCAATTGAAAGTCATACAGCTTACTTGTATATTCACAGTTAAAAATTCTGCACCGAAAGATTCAACCTGCTCTCGTACTGCTTCACGTGTATCGAAAGCACGCACAATAGCACCGAGACTTTTCGCTGTGCTAACAGCTGATAAACCTGCTACTCCACCACCAATGACTAATACTTTTGCAGGAGGAATTCTACCAGCCGCTGTAATCTGACCTGAATTTTAATAATAAAAATTAGAACATAATCAATGATAAAAGTTAATCGATAATCGGTATTGATTTCCAAATGTGCTAATTAAGCGTTTATTGTAAGTAGTTATTATCAGTCCATGGTATCTATGCGTTTTTCATCCAATTTCTTCATGTTTGGACGTAAAGATAGAGAATTTGATTCCTTCAGACATAACTTTAACGGATTTGTGTTGTTAAAAAGAAACAGTGAATCCTTTAAACTATGTGGTAACATTTTTATCTAACATTCTAAGTGGAATCAAACACGCTAAAAACTTATTTCGACAGAGAAGGCGTAAAACTGTTACACATTTTCTATCATTTCATTAATAATTAATTAACCAAATGAGTTTTACTATCTACGCCTGACTTGCCTCTAGGTACTGCAATACCTTCTGCCTTGTGACCATTGCTCAGCAATACGATATATAAAAAAAACCAAAAGGCTGATGATAATTGAACATGAAGGAGTTTGACAACGCTAATTTTGAAGAAAACAAGGAATAAAGTCAAACTAATGGTTTGTACACAGAAATGCACCGTAAATGTCCGAAAGAGAATTTTTTAAATTATTGTCTTTGAGAAGAGCGTAATATCATGACCACATAAATGACCCATCTTATTCTGTACTTAGGTTCTTAGAAATGTATATTTATCATATTCAAGCAGAGTTAAGTTAGAATGCTGAGTACCAACAAGTATGATAACGATTACCTTCATTTATTCAATAAATATCATACTTTCATAGTTAGAAATACTTGTAAAGAATATGCAAAGTAAGTTCGACCAAGGATAGGTAAAACAACAACAACAACACGCAGAGTCTGTAACGACTAAGTCCTAATACCCGGAGGACTTCAACTAGTACGCATATGCCTTCATAGATACTCAGACTAAGGGTTAGCGATTTTATGAACCATTATCAAGTTTAATTCCCGTCATCAAGAGCTTTATTTCAACCCAACTCCAATCTAATTATCTATAAAAATATGAATAAACGGCCGTATATTATGCGCCGTCACAATATTTCAGTGTCAACTGCTTACATTCTATCCAAATTTTAACGTTGGTATACCGGGCAACATATAGAGTCTTGGTTTACTGGTGTAGGGAGTTGACTTTCAACCAGTGGATCGAGGGTTCGAACATCGCTCTACCTACCAGGAATGGACAGTAGCAGTATCGTTAGCCCTCGCAGAATAGGTGTGGCTCATTGCCTACTGTACGCTTGTGCATAAGGTCCCCGAGTGGATTTCAACTTTCTGTTCGACTAAGCTATAAGCCATACATATTTGAGGGCTTATGATACTATCCTGTCGCTTAAGCTGAAGCATATGATACAGGACTGAGACTCGGAACCCACTGCTTGAAAGTCAAGTTCCTTAGCCGATAAACGATATACTCACTTATTCTTGTTTACCTGAATATCAATATGAAATTCAGCATTCTGAACTATCTACAACATTTTGGCATCTTTCGATGTTCAACTAGCACACATTTGACAACATGTTGAGTCTCTATTTAGACGCTAACACCCAACGGCAGCGCTCAGAGATGTGATATTTACTTAAAAATAGCTAAAATTAGGTAGTACTGAAACTGCCAGTAAAACCAACATCTTCTGACAAATGAAGTAAAACCAATCACTTATGTTAATACAATAATCAATTTTGTCAAGCTAAAAATACAATTCAAAGATTTAGAGTCGTTAAAATCCTGGTCATGTGGCCATGCTGCCATATTATCTCGAGATATTTTTGCAGCATAACTTTTTCTGAGTTCAAAAATGATGTGATAACATTATTTTACTGTTACCTGCAAAAAATCGATTGAACACTCCAGCAGCCTCGATTACACCCTTGTAACCAGCAATATTAGCCATGGAGGACAAAACATCGAACGACTGAGCACGACTTATTCGTGGTATACAATCCAGAGCTAACAAATTTATATTCTTCTTACTTAGTATATCAATTAAAAACTGGAAAAAAAAGAAAAGTTAAGGATTCAATAGAAGATAATCTAAATACAATAAACTTCAGAATTAATGTAAGACAATGTCTACGATTGCTAAGCCATAATGTTATCAAATTTCTCAAAATACAAAATACTAACTTTATTTTGGTCTAACCAAAACAACAATAGTTTCGCACATGCTCACCAACTGGCTGACGATAAATATTCGAAATGCAACCCTTCGTTTCAAAAAGCATTGTCTTAAAGTCAGATATTGCACTGGAACAGTAATAACTACCCAATTCTTGACCGACAGCTTCTACGTTGACGTGATGGTTGAGCTTGCATATCACAATGATCCCAAAGAGCAACACTGACAGAAACGCTTGTTTCCTCGACGTTTTACCATACCAGAAAGGTTTATTGGATAGTGATTAAAAAAAAGCACTTACCGTCATAGTGTAAACTCCTACGCTATGATGGTGTCTGAGGGCCAAGTCATACTGATGGCTGAACGAGAGTGTGACATTAGCACTACACTGATGCGATCTTCCCTATAAAAAGAGGGGCTAGGCAAGGTTGGTCCTAAGAATAGCACATTGGAGTTACCCTGCGGCATGCCGATACTTGCGACATGAATTCATAGTCCAATACGCATACAACAAACCTACATAGTAAACTTGCGAAAAAGCAGTGTGGTCGACCTCAACTAGATGTCACTCGATGTCTGAGGTCACGCATTAACCCTTCTTTTGCGACTACCGTAGGAAGAATAGGCTTCTATGGTGTGGGTAACTGGTAGCTTTGTCAGCATTCAACTTCTCTCAAATCGCTGTCCATCTTCCATATCCTTACCTTCTAATACTATTTCACCTCTTTTAGTCAATTATCCTATATCATTTCTTCCAGCTCTACAGATCTCATCAACGATCTGAGTTCCCAGAACAGCATCTTCAGTCCCCTGAAACTGCGCTCCAAACTACACACTGGAGCTTTTAATGTCCAAACCCTCTGACAAGTCAGCGAACGAGATTCGCTAGCCAAACCTCTAGCAACTCGGGCCACGGGTATGTGCTGTTTGTGAGACACGCATACAGGACCCAACTGCGGTTATTTACTTAGCCTCATCCGGCTAATGTAGTGAATCCGCGAAATTCACCCTTCCAGTTTCTGGAAATTCTGTAGTGCACCTTCCTGGCAACAAAATATAACTAAGGCTAAAATAAATAGTTTAAATTAACAAAATAAATCTCTAGCTTGCCTCCGGATGCTTAGGGCGTTTTAAGTTTTGTTTTAACGAGCATGCATCTGAGCAGGCTTGGACCCCATTTTGCGCTCCATTGTGCTGATTACCACACACGTACTCCGAGTCTGTAGTTCAGCATTACAAGCCAGATAAGTTGATTAAACTTTTCCCCCATCCATTATTATTACATTTACTTTAATTAAATACATAGCTCCTTAAAATACATTGCGTATCAGTTCTTTTGATTTGTGTTTTGTTATCAGTACTTACACGTTAGGTAAAGTACTGGTTAAGCAGGTACTAGAGCACATCAAGTTAAGTAGGGTTGATCAAACGTTACGGAATTGTAACACGCACCCCCACCAACTCAGTGGTTAGTTCTCACGGTCTTACAGGTGTACGTACAGGATTGATCACCAAGCCAGGAAGTTCTCTGCTCGACTAAACCCCAGTTGACAATCAATTATGCACTGTTCGACTGAACGGCACAGTGAGAACAACGGGGAATAGTGGGAATCACCTTTGTCTCCTTGTGATCTCTGCTCAGGCACCAACTGACTGCAATTCGGATGGCGTGAAGGATGAGTTCTGTATAGGCGTAAAACTTGGGCACTGTGGTAGAAGTTAATTCCATATCAGATTTGTTTATTTGATTTATAACACAATGATATAGTATCATTTACTTGATGACGTTTCAAGCATAAATTATTGCTCTCTCTGTGAAAACCACAAATGAATCAGCCTGACGAACATATTGTCGAAGATTCTAGGTCAAATAATCGTTGGATGTTTGAGTGGAGCTCAGGAATAGTAAACGCTTGAAAACCAGGCAGACTTCAGACCTAGCCGTTGACGTATCGACCAGATATTCACTCCTATCAGGTTTTAATGAGGGACATAGCTTTGGAAGTTGGTACTGTCCAGTTCATGTTAACTTTCTGTGCACTGATATCTGGAAGGAATTGTCCTATCTTGTTGTTAGTAGCACAACGCAGGAACACTTTCAAATATTTCAGCAACCGTCATTTCGACTGAAGTTGTAAATACCCTTTAGTGATAAATGCTAACAAGCAAGAAACCTGAATTCAAGGATTCTTCCAAACAATCCATCAAACGAAGTCCTTTCCACTGCCGAAACATTTACATTTTTGACGACAGTGCTAACGTACTCGATAGAATCTAACTAGTATTTAGGACTAAATCATATGATACTGCTTACTATTCCGCGACGGAACTGTGGTTCATTAGTTTAGGGAGATGGTTTTTAACCACGTGCAGCGGGTTTGAATCCGTTCCACCTACCGAGGTTTGGGCGGTCAGGTAGTATCATCAGCTCACAATAGGTGTGGCTCGTTGACTGCTGCACGGATGTGCACATGGTAGCTGAATGCATAAAAAATAATAACTATCCTATGATTAATTATCCTCCGAAATCGGAAACCAAAACCATACCGAGAGCTAGTAAGACATATCCTCATTAAGATCAGTTGCACACATAGGAAAAAAACCCATAATTTCACACTTCTATTTGCTGATTTAGGTAGCTAGTTCACGCATATTAAATAGTAACTCCAATATCCAAATACAGTATCCATAATTACTTGTTTTTGCGCAAAAGCTGAACATTAAAATATTCACTACAAAACTGGATAACTCAGTTAATTCAAAGTACTCAAGCATTTGAAACAGGTTGAATATTAAGTAAATCAATGTGATTTTCGACACAAATGCATCCAAAAACCACAAGGGAAAGTATTTCAATGACACAGCATGCGAAATGAAAATAGTTGTGAGAACTAACCTTATTTTTTGCAGGGTATACTAAACTGATTAACGTGCTATTAGGCTTAAGCAAGCTGACTTCATCTTCTGGTAGAGCGGACGGGGAAGTGAAAAAAGGTGCACGAATTTTCAGGATTATGTCACTTTGCTGGTATAAACTCTCTGCACCATCTGAGATTACTTTAGCTCCAGCCTTTGTATACTCAGAATCCAAGAAATTAGATTCTACACCAGCACCAGATTCAACAAAAACCTTGAAACCTCGTTTGGAAAACGCATTTGTAGTCTATAAAAGAAAATACATAGAAATATGACTCAACTAGTATTAGGGTGCACTACTACTGAAAATCTTTCAGTACTAACACTACTGAAGGCTTAAGGTCTTATTGATAAGACTAACAAAACAGCTACTTACCTCCATTAATTTGTCGGGTTTACAATTTACTCGACTCTGCCTGAAGCCAAAATTTAGTTAGCAGGACAAAATTTTGAATACGGATACGATGGTAGATATGAAAATGAGATATGATTCTTATTGAAACTCAACCCGTTGGTCTCCTTATTATCAGCCAGCCAAGGTATGAGATCAAAAATGAATTTCGATAACAGTCAAATTGACTTATGCTATACCGATGTCCACGAAGCAAGAGTCAAGCTCATCGGTGATGTGTTCAGATATTTTAACTTTGAGGAGTGTCACCTATGTGGCATCTAAGTCGTTAGCAAATACTTCATGTGTTTTTCAAGAGTTCTGCTTCGAAAGAAGAATTGTACAAAGATCGTCTCGCAAGTCTAGTTCTGAGAAAAGCATCACTATTATGTACTGAAATGATATAAAAAACTCAAGGCATCATGGCAATAAATGGTAAAATTAGTAGATTGCACGCGATACTTGCTGCTGGTAAGGATGCATGTAAGTAGTATATGGCCCGATGTCTCCGTCAGGTCACGAGAGTAAATGACCAGCTAAAGAAAGTCACAAGGAGAAATAGGAGAGATTGCTTCGGAAATAAGTAAACGAGAAGATGAAGAGAAACAAACCGAAATAGTACGGGTAATCTTTACAGTAATTCGTATTAAAAATTTTCCCCGTCCCCATCTTCATTGTACTCATTAATTTGATCTTCAGTCCAAGCAGTTGCGTCTTAAGTTTCCACATGACGTAATGGCAGAAAATTAATAAAACGCTAAGAAATAAAAAATGTCGTATGGATACTTGTTATGACAAGTGGCAAAATTTTGAAATATAACCTCTTAGCCCCTGTATAATTTCTGTATGCTTTTTCACAGTGAATACCTTCATGTTATGCCTTACAAAGTCAAAGTACTCCTGGGACTAATTTGGTAATTTACACCTGAGAAGACTTACTGGAACATAGATTTCACAAAAACTAAGGGAACTGAATAGTCACTGAACTCACTTATTGATAAGCTCAAATTTCTAGACAGCCTGCAGGTATGTGTCAATCCTAATCAGGCATCTAAAAAAAATCTTATCATCGATCATAGTAAACACATACTTCTACTGTCCTAGCCATTAGCTGATTCGCATATATTGTATGTACATGTATCTAGTGAAGCTATCTCCAAAGCAGTGAACTGAACTATACAGTATAAAAGACAAACTAGCTTATGAAGTCGTAAAGTTTTATAAGCTGAGATGGCTGTATGACTTATTAATTATACCAAAAGGTTACCTTGTTTGAGAAACAATGTTGAAATTGTTGAATGATTCATTATGAAAAGACAGTATGTATAAAACCCTTAAAAATTGGCTTAATTCATGCATGCTACAAAGTTATTGTCCCAGGTGTAACAGTTCTGAATGAAGATGGTTGACGAAGTAAAATATTACCACCAATGTGGATATAGCTGCATTGACTACAAATTACCCGAATAAAAAACTGAAATTATCATCGGTTGGGCATTTCACCAAGAATAATGTAATACTTCATCCACAAGTATCGCCCTTGAACTCCACTCCTGACCAATCACAAAATAACTTAATTGCTGGTATTTGGTACAATTTTATTTCACGTGTTTAAAAACCTTTTAGATGGTAACAGATAAGCGATAAGGGTTGTGGAAAGTTTCCTAAACCAGCTAGCCGTCATGGTCTGGAAGCTTGGTTTGTACTCTGCACTACTAAAATATAAAGCACATTTACAACATTGGTACTAATTCGTGCCTGCATGCAGACTTGGTTACAAAACGCAAGAAATTGAAATGCTTGCTTATCTGGATAGATGTATTTGTGATAAGCAAAATCAGTCTTCATACAATAAAATTTAGAAAAATAAATATCAGTCTCGACCACTGACAGTGCCATTCCTATGCATGGATGTAATAGGGTGCTTATATAACGCTTCGTGACAGACGATTAAGTTCTACAATTATAAAAGCATGGTTCTACTGTACTCACGATATTCCACACCCTTCTTCGTCCGATAACCACTATTCTTATCCTGTTGGACTTATTGATGACAACATTTAACGATACTCACATCATTTGGTAAGGGTTTTGGCGGAATAAAGATCTCCATTCAACCTAAACAGTAACCTCATAGCAATTATTTAATGGTTTCAGTAAGTCTCATTTATACCATCATAAAGATGTTGCTACTTAGGACCATTCACAAGAATTAGCACCGACTATAAAAGAAAGAGAGAGATCACTTTGTCATACAGTACCCCAGAGTGAAGACTGGTAATGTTAAGTCGACCCTGTGAATTGTTGTGATAGAACGTAAACAGAACGTAGAACACTCGTGAGACTATCAAGGAAGAACTACGTTTATCTTAACTATAAAAAACAAAAAATATTTGAAAACTCGACCAAGTCTTTTAGCCTGGAAATCTCCAAGGAGTGTTAATTGGGTATTGTGTGTAGAGAATGACTTTAAAGTAAAGGCAGTTCACCGTCGCCAAATCCTGTTGTAACACTACTTACTGACTGATTTTCCAAACAAAAGCTAGCAGAACTAATCCACTTTTATGAAAGTCTCAAGCCGTATTTATCTATAAATACTGCATCTGAGAAGGAAATGAATAAAACAGCAGTTACATCTTCACCATAAACTTCTAGCTTGAAACGGCTTCAAAGTTGGTTAGGATAAGAATAAACAATTTGAAAAAATATCGTGAGGATTGTTCACCGCTTAGAACTATCTTTATGATATATCCATCTCTAATATGCATGAAGACTGCATATTTAAGCATAAAGTTTTGGGCTATGTAAACCGAAAAGTTAAGTAACGTTACTTAACTTTACGCCATACCAGTGAAACAAAGACTGAAATTTAAGCTTACGAAAGATAACTATGAAATTTTTTCGTACATATCTTGACTTTTATATCTTTTTTACCTGAGGGGTAACTGCTACGCGTTTTTCTCCAATATATGATTCCTTAGGGACACCAATGTGTAGATCACTAAAAGCTACACCTAACTGAGATGACTCGATGCGTGAGCTGAGAAGACGACACCACGAGATTGCTGAGTTTGTTTTGGAAATTCGACGAACCCAATTAACTAGAAAAGATCGCCGAACGAAAACGATATGTGCCATCTATATGTGGCAGACGAAAAGCTATACGAAAACCATATTCGCGCTTATATCTAAGATCTGTTTTATGAGCTCGTTTAAACCATTTGGTTTGGTGACACTAAACTTCAGTAACATTGAAATTTAAGGACAATCAGCAAGGCTGTAGAATGAGAATAAGCTGATCTAAAGCGGTCTTTAGCCATAAATAATTCCGTTATCACAGTTCACTGGTTACGGACTTTTCATTTCTGTTATTCATTATCTTATTCACTACCTATTATAGGCCACTTGATTTCTTCATACCCACTCCTAGGTCTTTTGGAATTGACCAAGGTCGTCAATAGATTCATTGTAGCGGGTTCAACCACTCACCGGCCGTATAAGGCAGAGCTATAGCTGTGGTGAACTCGCCAGACAAGTGAGTGCCGGTTACGTTAGTCGGGGGATGCATGATACGCCTTGAGACATTGATGCTGATGGGATTCCTGGGGGCCATGTCATGTATCCAACGCAATGTGACTATTCGCGAGGAAAGTCTAGTTGTACCACGATTTCATTTGTTTCGCAGAAGACACCCAGTGCATCGTTTTAGCCACGAGGTCCACTTTTTAAGCGCCTTACCGATAAGGGGAAGATCTCATTTGCCGCCCTCTTCACAATATCACTTATGAGTTTCAGGCGATGGTCCTTTGACTAGGAACGCCATTCCTGGGGCCACTGAGCTATCGATAGAAACTGATTCATCTTCGCCTAGTTTATCTTTCTATTAGAGAGGTAAGAGCAAGGGTACTGTTATGATGATCGTTCACTGATTACCAGATTATGTACGACCATGGCATGATTACTTCTGCAGATGAGGACTAGAATCTGTACATCCTTTACTGATAGGTGGTCGGTAACAAGAAGATAGCCACGTTTTGGTAGTTTTCACTTGAGCCCCATTGAATGCCGCCACCCGATCTGTTAGTTATAATAAAAATATATATATACAACATGAGCTACATGGATGCAAACCAGTTTACAGGTTTGTTCATTTTGGTGGTGAGAAATGACTGTTATGTACAATGTTAAGCCATACATTAGATACCGTTATTCATGGCACATAGGAGGTGCATCTAGGGCAAGAACGTTAACGCTTCGCAGAATAATTGTCCAGCTTACTGAAGCAGGCTCAGTTCGGAATTAGGAATTATTCGGCTATTGTTTGAGTCTTCCAACATTTTTGAAGGTGGGACAGGTAGTGAATTCGTCACCTTGGGCGGTGTGCCTTCGTCACAAAGTTTTGATGGCACGGTGCATACACTGGTTAGGCAGACCTGAAAATGAATAACAGAAGCGAGTGGTAGGCGAAATTCAAAACAGGGGCACAGAAATACTACTACTCAGGGGTAGATCAACCATGAAACATCTGGGTGGGTTCTTTGTACTGACTACAAAACTTATTTGAAGAAGTATCCAAAACCACTGTTCGGAGGTAAGCTTATAAGGAAGAAGATGAAGGCCCTTTTGAAAGTAATGGAAACCAAACTGAAGCCGAAGATATCACCACGGAATAAAGAGATCAGAGGGCTTCGGACCAGATAATTGCTTATGCGTAGAAAACCCATGTGCAGGAGTTCAACGAAGTCACAAACATTTGAATAAAATCCATGGTTTTTTGCCAAGATGGTAACCACGCTTTATATAGTCATGGGTGAGGGATGATTATGGTGTTGCCTGATGAGTGTTACTATATCAGGGCTATAGAAACAATATGGTGGTGCAGAGTACTTACATGTAAGTACCGATTACGAAGGGCAAATAATAATACATGTTACATGCTAAATAGATCCACCGACAAACAGTGAAACGTAGAGATTTTCGATCAAAGGCCAGGCTTCATAAGATATTGCCATTATCAAGATCTAGAAATGATGAAATCCCGATTGTGATAATTTGCCAATAAATTGTAGCCAACAGTAAGTAGTACCTCTTCAGTGAAGCTAAAAGGTCTTGAGACTTCCCCACTTAACCTCCCCTTGTATCGGACTGTAACGTAAAGCCAGATGCAGCCTGGAAGCTATGTCTGAACAGCATCATAAACCCGTTCACTTGCGGGCTGGTTACTCATGTACACTGCTATTCTTTCAAAGATATGCAGGTCAAGTAAAAGTTGGGAAAAGCGGCTTGACGTCTACATCATTGCATCCGCATAAGTACCCATAACGATGCATGAGAATGCGAATTTCTAAATGGATTCACGAGAAATTGCTAGAAGGTAATGATGCTTATAAATGTGCCTTAAAGAAATTGCTATGTTGAAGGTGAACACCACTATACAGAATCGAAATTATGAATATCTTGGTCTATAGGATAAGAAAACATGAGGAAACGAAGCCGGTGTGGGGCCTCAGGCTTGAAGCCAATTATCTGGCGGTACAAGCTTGTGCTTACCGTAAGAAGTTGGCACCTCATGGAGGAGTATACTAGGCCCACATACGTTTTGCATCTTTTTCAATAAAATATAAATGGGGTTGCGATACGGAGTGCCGTGAAACTTCGCTGGCTACTGTGAGACTGTTGTCAGCTTTAGTTAGGACGCTACACCCGGGGGTGTGTCAGTGTACCAGGCTGATTACTTCATTTTAGCTAGAAACTGTAATTACATTCAAAGTTGATGCAGAATGCTACACATGCAGAGGAATTGGTCCTGAAATTGAAGAAAGGCATCGCGGTGGACGGCAACACACACTAGGGGGAATAACTATGGAGCCCCACCACTCAGCGCAAATCATTGGGTTATACGTGTCTCGTCCATGATACGTGGTGGGCTTCACAAGACAACCTTCACATAACGGCATCGGAAAATCATACATCGAAACTGTAAATAAGGTAACATAATTTGGCTAGGATGAATGCTAAGAGTTACAAACTAGAATATATTTTACAGCGCTGTTTTGAATGACACTGTCTGTGGTGATATATGCTGTCTCGGTCCTTGCTTGCTAATCTGTTGCCCCATTTAAAAATACTTCGGTGCTCTGATCGTCCATCTTCTCTTCAGCTATGGCAACTAGCATGGGTCAACGGCAGGTTATGTAAAGTAAGTGACTACACCGGTATTCATCACCTGAATCTATTAATAAGGTTAGAAACTGAAGTCTGAATCTGCTTTATGGCCAGGGACTTTCGTCATGAAAGTTCACCCAGCATGTGGGAGCCTTTATGAGACCTCACTGGCAGTAAGCACTTCAGTAAAGAGGCTTGTTGGTGCCTGAACCCTAAACAAATTGTCTGCACATACTATAGCCTTATTTTGAAAGCAAATGCGGCTTCATAATTGCAACAAAGTTGACACATAATCACCTTAGTCGACCAAAGGCGCTCCTTATGCTGGTTTGGCATGAATCACCGTGAAACTTGTGCTTTATTTTTCCCGCAGCAAAACTTATCGATCTCGCCTCGCTAAAAATTAGGCATTACACAATAAAACATTATCATCTACTACCACAGAACACTTACCTCTCGCTGAAACAGCTAATAACGCTTATATACAGGCCGAACACAACTACAGAATACGAGTGAACGTAAAACAGTTGTGACGTGATCATCCGTCAGGTAGTTCATCACTTTAAGAAGCACTTTCTGTGGGAGATGACGTAAAAATGCCTCGTCAGTTGAAAACAGTCACACAACACTGAATGACCTGTTATCCAAACATCAAAACAACCGAAGAGCTGCACTGGGCTTCGCCACTAGGGTGGCCTTCAAATCTCAGGGCCTGCGTCATACGATTAAGTTGGACAAGCGCCTTGAGGCCTAGAAACCAACAGGAATTCTGTCTGTTGACCATTGGGAGGTCATTTTGAGCAATCTTAGTAGGCTGTGCCGACGACCTGTTCCGCACCAGCCGGTTTTGCTGGCTTGTTCACGCTGCAAGCATTACTGACGTTCATATTCTAGAAATTGTATATTTATACATTTGTACACTTTTAGTACTGGCTTCATTGGCTACCCGTTTGGTTCACTGTTCTTATTGTCCCTTGGTGTTTCAGCACACAGACTAGTCACGTCTTCCAATTGCATCTACCCTTTGAAATGTGAGCCAGCAGAAGTTGGAAGTATGGACGACTGGATTCCGACCCAGTGGCTCAATGGTAACATGCTGGCCACGGAACCTGAAGGTCGTGGGTGCTCACTGCTGAGGAGTCCCATACCAGGACGAAACAGCTGTCCAGCGCTCCCAGGTTTTCTTTGTTCTTCTAACTGATGTCAGTCTACGACGAACAAAAACCTGAAGTATTTACCCATGTTTTCAGAATGGGTTTGGGTGAATTTATGCGTGTTATACTGTTCTCTTTTTTTCAGACGTTAATTAACCAGCAAAAAACCCCGTTGTGCTACCTGTGCCACCTGCTTTCAGAATTCCTTCTACATTAGTAGCTTTCGTACTGTGGCTTGAGAAGCTGGTGTAAATGTCAGCACGTTCCACTACCGCTCACTATCCCTGAGCTGAGAGTCCACCAAAGAGTATGCTTTACTTAATCATTTTCGTAGCCTCATCAAGCCTTGGCAAGGGTTTACGACTGTGCTAGCCCGACTAGTCCAACATGTGTGGCTATTTCTGTGGCATCTGAGCAGGTTATGCGACTGAAAAATTACATTACCCTTAGTCAAGTGAAAGAGGAGTATGCTTAGAAAACGCTTGGCGCTTAGATGACTAACATGCATTATGTTGTCAGTGAATATAATGGTAGTGATAAGGGGGATACAACTGAGGGGGTTAAACCATGTGGTAGTGGTATGGATAGTTGGTAACAAAAAGAAGCTAAAAGGTACGAAAAACGGTATTCAAGTGTAATCGAAAAGTTATAGCGTTTTAGGTCTAGGTTTGTCGGTTGATATCAAACAGCTAGAATAAGATTTTAAATCGATAATTTTGTTTTCTTTAGTGTGAAGATGGTGCACAACTATCCGTGTGATCCAAATTGTCTTAAGAAGGATCCACGGTGTGGGTGGTTAAGATAGGAAGGCTGAAGGCCGTTAATGAACGGAGGAGTATTCACCCGCTGCTGACATACGCCGATGGTGACAGTCATCAGATGGATCGTGTTTGCTTCAGCAGCACCAATCGAATAGTCAAGTGCTACTAATTCAAGGAGGTTGAAGGTTTTGATTCAACATATAAAGTCAACCTAGTGAATTAAGTCAGTCTGCACATCTATGACTAAAAACGTGGCTACAAATAGTTTTAGCCTGTTATGAAAGACAAACTGGGAAACAGCCACCCTATTTAGTTCATATGGAATAGGGAAAAATAACGAGAAACTGGTTTTGTTTTAGTCTATCAAGAGTGCATTCTTTTTGAGCTCACTTTTTGAAAGTGAGATTACTCGTTATTGTGTTTCGGAATTCCATAAAAGCTTCAGACAAGGCAGGTCCGAAAGTTTGGCATGTATTATAATCATGAACTTGCTTTACTTAGCCTAGCATATGGTTGACATTTTGTTTTGTTTGGATGAAAAGGGTATTTTATGTTCTCATATCAAACGTCTACGTTTGATTTAGTATCTTTAGACGTCATAAATATGAATATGTAGTACTAGGTACATAAACTCGTGTATTGTAAACTGTCCCTTGTTTACTCAGAGTGGTAGATATTGCCAGTCCATATTCAAAGTCAAGGTCATTATTATTAAGCCTAAAATCATTTGCATAATTATCCAGATTCAGATTTTCAGATTTATTGTTTGAAGATAGAAGGATTAGAGCCTAAGGCAATCCTTTTTAAGTATATCTCCGTTTTTGTTCAATCGTCTTTTGAATGAATCAGTTAGTGGTGTGAACAGAGTTGCTCCTGGGAGTCGGTTCCAGGAGTTTATTACTCGATGTGAGAACCATTACTCTTCGTAGACTACGTTGGTGTTTTATATTTGTATCTCCCTGCTATATTCTCTGAGGTATCCTGACCTAGTTAGAAGGAAAAGAGAAGACATGAGGTCCAAAGTCATTTCTTAAAATCTTTCTTGGCATGATTAGATCTCCAACCTGTCGGTTACGGGATGAAGAGCAGAGGTTCAGCTCCTTAAGTCAGTCTTCATAGGTCAGGTCAGCCATCGTAGGGATCATGCGAGTGGCTGCTCTCTGAACTCTTTCCAGAAGGTCTGAGTCACCTTTCAGAAAGGGATTTTTGGCCTGTGTACAGTTTTCTAGTTTATACCTAACTAACTTCAAACATAAAATTAAAATTGATTCTAGCATGGTGTAGTCTATCTGGAAGACACTTTGAGTGCACTTCAGAAGTCTTTGGTAGAAATATCCGCATCAAAAAATTAAATTCACTAAGTGTTGCACAACATCGGTTGACAAATTGGAGTGGTTACTTGGTAATGGTGGTGTGATTACGTTGACATGACTTTGAGCAGTAATTTATGCTCAAGACTTCATCAATAAAATAACCCAGTATCACTGTGCTGTGTATGGAATAACCAAGCTTAATATGCAATCATCTGATGATGTCAGAAGTCCTGAAGTGTATTCATGGTTGTTCATCAAAAGCAAAAAGTGCACCTAGGGTTGTTACAACTTACACCTATTCCAAGAACAACATATAGCGCATACTCCATATGCTTCGGTATTACTTAACTTCACTCTAAAAACCCTGTGAATAATTAAATACTAAATCCATCGTTGAAAATCAGTTACCAACTGTTAACTTACATTTTTCTGCTGTAGGATCTTGGTTTTACCTACAATTTTATATGTTCATCAACTTAAATTCAGCAATACTTCATGTACTTAAGGGCAGTGGGTCGCCCAGTGATTGATTTTCACCTACTTATACCTACCTTCAACAATCATTTGACTAACCTTTTTGACTGGTGTAAGCCATCTTAAAGCTGTGATTTACCACAACCACAGAGTATTATTCTCTGTTATTTATTGACACAGTCAAAAGTCCCATTAGCCCACTAGTTGGTTTGCTGATAGAGTAGAAAGTAAAGTGAGATCAAAGATGTGCACCAAGGTACGTGACTCTGCACTGCTTTCTAGGGGGATAGTTCATCAGTCTCTGTGCTTCTATCCTTTTTTATTATGAGAGTTTCTGACCTGATGCCATTTGAGGGCAACCAGTTTCATTTTTTCAAGTCCCAAGTTCTGACCAAATTCTGCCTGTCATTTTGCAATGAGACCATTAAGCAACGGAACTTATCAACACGGTGCACTATCGAAGGACACATTAAGCTTCTAAACTTGTACTTAAACTTTTTGTATTGTATATCCGGGTGTTTAGGTCACATAGTGCCTCATTCACTATAACTTGCTTCTGATAAATCATCATTTGTCACCATTTTGGATATTCTTCTTTGTATTGTTCAATTAAAGACAATTAGAACCTAGTGCTGTTGTACAAAGTTTCAATAAACTACAACTTGCATCGTCAAAGGTAAGCGAAAGTAACAGTGGTATATGTGTAGGAATGTAAGTATTGGTATCATTAGTTGTAATTTGCTGATAGAAAAAAGTATTGGAACCGCGAGAGGATAAAACAGCAGTCGGTTCTAAAATTATTGGGATTTCAATAAATGCAAGGTGATGAGCACGTCTAGACAATTGTGATCAACTTGACGTTTTTACCCAAAGAATCGGTGCAATGCGAATTTTTATGTTTTTTCCTGTTATACGGCTGTAAGACAAGTAGAAAACATAAAGGACCAACAAGTATTCAGCAGTAGCCGTCTATGTAGCGTTGTTTGCGTGTAGCGGAACCACACTCTAAACACCATCGAGGCTGGGTACAAAATGCTAAACGAAGAAGGGGAACCAATCGATGAGAATGTGGACATTCACAAAATTAGACTATATGATTGCTTCTTTCGTGGATTGAGCCATTGGGTAGCTCGATACATAATGTTAGCTGAAGTGGAGCTAGACTGGAAGAATGCTACGAGTAACCAGATCATCAATCAGTTAGGCCTCTGATTGTTGGTCCAAGCAGTGTAGGGGATGTAGGATGTCTTAGTAGGGTCTTTGATCTGATTAGAATTGTTCATTGAGGGATTTGGGTGGTAAGGTTGAGGATCATTTAGTGTTCATATTCGTACACTTAGTTATCTTCGGAATTTCAGACACTTTCCTAACCCTCATCTAAATTTTATCTTGTCTGTCATTGTCGTTTGCCAACTTTGTTTTCTTTTTTTTCTGTCTGACTTTCCTCGCTGCTGTGAACTGTGGTATCTTCAAGTGATACATTTTTGCGACAGTTTCCCCGTCAATCTGTTTTTTTGCTTGTTTGATGAGTTCAAAGCGTTACTCACTACAGTCTTCCGCTGTCGATTTTGGTTTCCCCGTAGATCTTTATTGCAATATTGAATGCAGACTAACAAGGAAATTACAGTTAAATGCCAAATCTTAATCTGAAAACTTACGTAGTACTGTGAAAGCAAATAAGTCTAGTTTGAATGCTACATATTGACCATTGTAACTTAAGAAACATTGCACATGGGTTAATATTGACTTTGATTCAATATTTTTTGGTATTTCAGTTTAGTATGAGATATTTGGTGATGACATTTATTTTTCGGCTTGATGTTTATATGCAATAACCCCATATATGGTGCTTTCGTTTTTCTCACCACTGTAAGTATGGTCTTTCTTTTTCAATTGCCATATGATCTCATGAGATCGACCAATTATGAACGGTTATTTCATATAGGTCTAATTCGAAACTATTTAGTCTAACAATATGAAAGATTGTATCTAGTGGACTAACTTTACACACTTGGTAGCCACTCACTTTTTCCAATGTGACATGGGTCTTTATGACTAAGGTCTCATTGTCTTTCTAAACGTCTCACACGTTTTCCTAAAAACGTGCATTTTAAATGTTTTGTTAATAACTTAGATATTATGGAGGTTTTAAATCACTATGCGCTTGGTCTGTTTCTGTTGTTTCGGGGTTTTTTTCAACGTAGTTTCATTTTGCTATCAACAACAGTGAATTAGTAGTGCTTTTCTAAATGTTTAGGGGATTTCCTTATCCACCGTTTCGTTATCCTTGTTTGCTTAAGCCAACATTTCATATAAATGCCTACAAGTATGCTGTTTTTGATGCAATGCAGTGAACTTCTTCTAGTTATCTTGTTTATTCATATACATATTCCCTTAAATTTAACATTTGTTTTACTTTCGTGTTTTATTGTTCAAATTTTAATCTACCTATTGTGATTTACCGGCAGGGAATGATGTACATTTGCAGTTTTGCTAACAAATTCACACTCTAACTGCTCTTCAATACAATGAATGTTACTTCCTTATAGGCGAAGAAATTGTGTACAATTGTGGTTATGTGTTGGTTTAATTTCTTGAACCTCATGAAACCTTCCTGCTTCAACCGGTTTACGATAGACAATGCAGTGACCCTAACAAACAAAGAATTAGATGGAGATGGGTTTCTCTTACATCTAGGTATAACTTATACTCTTGCAACAAACTATACAGTGAAAAGTGCAAGGATAAACATTGGGACAGAATAAAATAATTCTGGTTCATTAATTTGGCGGTTCTCGTCAGATGCTTACAACCCAGAATGTTATTAGAACGAAACTTCTCGTGAAACTTAGATGGGGCATGAGAGCGAACATTAACTTCACAATGGAACATGAAGACAGTGGTAGATTCCACTTTCTGGATGTCAGGATTCAGCATAGAGCTGATGATACATTTCAAAGATCAATCCGCTGCGAAGACACAGGAAAAAGTTTTATTGTTAATTACAACATTTTCTGTCCAGTTTAAAACTGTGGACTAGTTAGTATGGTGGTTCGTAGAGCATGAAAACTATGCTGACGAGATAAAATTGTGTATAAATCATCGCTTCTCGGGATGTATCTTAAAGGAAATAGATAGCCACAAAGCTTCATCAACAACTATGGTAGAAGAGAATGGAGTAAAATTGAGGAAATTACATTTAGTAGGAAGTCGCTTTTCTCTCACTTTGACTTGAAATGTGTTGATACGGCTGTCGTGCTAAACCGAAAACTAGGCACTGCACTGACGAAGACGTATCCTGCACCAAAGCTAATTCCCCTGTTTCGTGCTTGCCAGATGGTGCAATCAAAAATTGATGCCTACCCCTCATATGTTACCTCCACTTGTGTGTATCAACTCATGTTTATCTGCGGGAGCAATTATATTAAGAGAACAGAAAGCAGGGCCTACCTTCTATATTTTTAACGTCTCAAAGAGTCTACTACTGAGAGGAGCAAGTATCCTCAGTAATGCAGTTACTTAGCATTTATTGGACACAGGAAATGAAGCAAATGCTCCTGAACCATTCAAAGTAACTAATAAATAGAATATTTCAAATCTTCTTCGCTTAGTTGAGACCGTTGCAATCAAACACATGAAACTACATCTATCTATCCAGAAGGA